TGTGTACGTTAAGTGGACACAGAAGCACAAGATAACGGTTTTTGTGTGGGATGTAGCAAGTCATGTACTAAGGTAGCTGCGGGCAAAATCTAACTCTCCAGCGAGCATCACTGATGAGTCAACAATCAGCCTCGAGGGTCAACGTTTTTATGATCATTCTCAGCAGCACTGCTTCTCTCTCCCTCTCGTCTCATCCTCTGTCTGTCTCATTATAATTCTCTCACTCATTATCACTCTCTCCATCTAACTTGTTCTCTCGGAGACTTTTGCATTCAGCCAAGATCTATGTGCCTGCTTCTCGTGGTTAGACTCACTCCCTTTACCTCTTGCCGTCTCCGCAGTCTCTCTTTCTCACTCGTTCTCTGTCCATCTTGTTACAGCACAGATTTATTACTGCAATCTGTCAGGGCTCCTGACTTGCCTCCTGACACATTCTGTGGCAACCAATATGCATATGTCGCTGTTAGTATTATATAAACACATACACTGGAGCTATAAAAGCCCTTGGCAGATAAACAGAGGTGACTGAATGTCATGTCTATGAAATCAAATTCACCATTGACTAGTTATGAAAATCCTTCTAGTGAGAGGGAGACCTAATCATGAAATGCAAATTTTGCAAGGTAACTAAGCTTAGAAGTGTGAAATGAAGATGGTTATTGATCTGCTAAGAAACCTTGTTTAAATAAGGTCCAGAGTTGGAGGATTATTTTACAGAGCTTTAAGAGTTTGTTTTCATATTCAACTTAAGTCATGTAATGAGACTTTTGGGTCTAATGTTCATTTTCAAAGATGAGCTGGAATGTTTTTGAGATTTGGAGTTAAAACGGTTGAAACTCACTAGAAAATAGATTTAAGATACGATTCAAACAGCAGAAGCCCATCTATCCGAGAAAAAAACATACTCTGTATACACGAAATCAAAAGGAGGGTCCTGCTAATTGGAGGGATATGGCTCACCTCTGAAACCATCAAACATTCACAAATGAGGCTTCACAGAACAAACAAATCCTCAAGGAAAAATACAAACTACACTTAGTTGGGCCAAAAAAAAATCTATTTTCCCTTGCAGTACGGTTTGGTTTTATTATTTGATTTGAAGTTGAATTTCAGTCCATATTTTTATTCTTTTTCTCTATGAACAAGTGTAAACAATGCCTAACTTTCACTGTCCTTGTTTTAATGTAAGAAAACCCTCCCATCATAGCTATATACTAACTATGATGTGGTGTAAACATGAGTGAATTCCTGTGGGGTGGTGTGTATCTGTATGTTTACAAGCAGTGCCCAAGGCAAAGGTTGAGTGCCATGAATAATTCATCTCTTTACAAAAGTAGCAGAGTTATTGTTTGAAATATGACGACAACCATTATTTCTGACAGAATAATTAAACATTAAAGGGCAAGACAGATGCACTTGTACCTTAATGACATCTGAATGGTGCAAAGTAAAATAAGCTATGCAGAGAGCATACCTATGACTGCTGAGCCATACCAAAAAAAAATGATGGCTCACAAATGAATAGAGGCTTTTTACTAACTGAACTCACAGGGTGATGTAAGCACTGGTGGTTTACTTCCAGCACTTGTTTCATTATAATTATTAAGACCATCAACTCAAATACAGTGCATAAAGTTTTACATGAACATATATGCGCACTGGGCAGGAGCAGAAGAAATGTGAACTTCTTTCTTATAGGACAAGCAAGTCCTGTGTGCAGACAGAAATGTAATTGTATGATTGAGGTGATGCTTGAGGCAGTATTGAACAAAATTACAAAGAGGTGTATTAAGATGTTATTGATGAATGTTTAGTATGTACATTCATTATGTTGCAATACAAGGTTCAAAATGCTGCATGGCAAAATGTGGTTCAAAGATAAGCATGTGCAGGGAGGTGTGCACATATCCAGTCAGGTAGCAGCTTGGGTAGAATACTCTAAATACATAGAAACAGTATTGTGATACCAGTAAACAGAATACAACGACTATAACCAACCCATTATTAACATCCCCAAAACTTTGAAGCCGTCACAATATTCTGCACTGACAACCCGTCAAAGAAGCTTTAAACACACAGTGTGAACCTGTGCTGCTGGGAAAACTACAGCAGATCACAAACCAAAGGAAGAGAATAGATATTATGTCATCAATTTTAACCCATTATGCAAAAATTCTAAACGATCAAAGTTGTAGGTAACAACTTGCACTGCAAGGCCTGACAGTAACATCTTCACCCCAGGCAAGATCTGAACTACTGACAACCATTTGATTTGATCTGGTTTCCCCTGTTGTCAACCAGTTTCCACTGTCATATAAGAACAAAAAAAAAATACAACAACAAATGAAAAATGCTGAATTCTCGCCTTGGTAGAGGCACCGAACCAGAATGCTGCTGTCACATTTATTTTTTCTTGTACAGAATGTACTTAGACTTCCTCCCCAGTCAGCCAGGTGCTCAAGCATTAAGAGATCCAAATCTGAAAACATCACTAACTGCCGTGCTCTTTCAAAAATGGCAAAGCAGGAATTATTATATAAAGGGCAATTTTTCTTTTTTTTTCACAACCTGTGATACAGCCCATGAACTGAGCACATCGCAACAATCCACACTGCAATACAACATCCGGTTATCTTTCAAAAACATTTTAACCATGTTCATTATTTCAAAAATAATGATCATCAACAATTAGACATAGCTTCCGTATATTAACCAACGTTTATGATTTCCGGCAAACAGAACTCAAACTCTGCTGGCATTGAACTGACATGAAAATTTATCAGATTTTCTAGCAATACCGGTACTTAAAAGCACACTTTAAATATACTCTTCAACTCTGTTCAGCATTCTGAAAAGACAAGCATGCTTGCAACATATCATGCTCGCTGTTACATGTATATTTATACCAAGGATTGCCCTTGTAGCTATAGCTTGACAGCAACGGACATACATCCACATATTACCGCAACATGCGCCCAACCCAGGTGTTAAAAAACCCTCAGGTCTTTGGACCAGACATGATATTTCCAGCTGACCTTTTACTGCAAGTTCAACCAGGTTAACACAGTATCTCAAAGGCTTAAAGTACACTATCGGTCAAATCGGTCAACAACACACTTGTTTCATACTCCACCCTAGGCGCTTAAAAGTTTCAATTACCTGTACACTGGACACTGAAATGTGATTTCTGCTGTCACAATGCCTATAGGCCAGACTCAGACACCAGACTGCTAAAGAGAAAACAGAATTTGTCTTGTTCTAGAAGATAAAGGCACAAAAATACTGGACTCTACATACCTAACAAGGACTCGTTAGTAATGTATTTAACCTTGGATGAATAATGAAAAGTAAGCACTGCAGACTACAAATAATGTAATATAAGTATTACGGTAGCAATTCACTGTGCTGTATAAAAAGTTGATGGCTGGTTTCTGAGAGAAACCCCATACACTGTACTGAAATAAAATACAGATTGAAATAAAGTCAGTTTTGTCAACTGTGCTCACTAAAAAAACTCTGGTAGCTTTTCTTTTTCACTTCATGCAATATGCTGTGTTACGATGCCATTATTAGTTCTGGCTTTAGCTTTGATATTAAAGATTCATTTTAAACAAATCAAACGAGGAATGCATGCTTTCGATAATTCAGGATGTTCTGCAACATCCATAGTATCTAGAGTAGTAGTCCCAACATTTTCAATTTGCTCTACCCAGACTGTAAATCCCAGGTGCTTTGTTAGTTACTACTCAGAATATATTTCCCTCAAGCCACGCCACAGCAGTCTGCATCATCAGTGGGACTCTTTAGCTTCTGTGTCTGCACTCTCTGGAATAAATTCACAGGCCCAGGTGGGAATGTTGCTTGGCGACTTCCACAGTCCATTAAGCTTTTGCAGGCAGTTTAAGCAAAGGCTGCATTTTTATGCAATATTTATTTTTTTTAAAGGAGAGAGAGAGAAGACCTGTGGGTTCCCGGACTAGTAGAGCAGTGGGAGATGGCAACAGAGGATGTAAACTGTCAGGCTGGATCATCACACAGAGGATTAATCTGTGTTTCATAAGCAGACGGCTTTATAGAATAAAAAAAACTCAGCCTACGGTTCCAGCAGCTCTTTATGACTAACATGGCATATTGAGCAGAAGCACATCAAGGTCTTCGAGAGATCTTTGCTGAATTATGTATATACAGAGGTGCTTGGATAAACTGAGCATTCGCACAGATTGCCCAAAGCCCTACATGCTTGACCTTCCTCTCAATTACCTAAGGTACAAAGCATTTTTCATGTCAACACTATCAATGTTTTGTTTTTCCTTCATCCAGTTGTGCTTTCATGCCTCTCGCTGCAGCCCAAACACTGCAATTCTTCAGGGTGCATCTAACTCATACAAGAGAGCAGGAAACAGCCACAAGAGATGCAGCAGACCCAAAACAGTATGTTGGTATAGAATTCTAACATGTTTGTATTGATTGAATGTGATTTCATTGGACACACAGTGCAGTGAGGAATCACAGTGGCTTTCACCGACCTTTATCTATCCAGAGAGTAACCACAGGCTTGATTTTCTGCCAATAAAGTTGTCAGATATGAAGTATACAAGGATGGAATATTAATCTAGCAGCACACAAGCATTTAACCTGAGTGTCAATAGCTGTAAACATCAAACGTACTAATCAAAACTAACACTGGTATCCATGAAACACCAATTAAGCACAACAGGGAAATGAATTATGCAACTCTGAACATTTAGCTTGGCAGTACTCTTACACTCCAAGCTAGTCATAGGTGACAAACTGCATTTCTTCACAGACAATCCTCTATCCTCATCATTAACATAAACCTCCCAGAAAACACAAACAATTATATCGCTTAGCCTCCTACTCTTGCTTTTCTGCTGCGACTAAAATATTTATGTAGCCAGACCCCACATATAGGCAGCAATTAAGGTCACTATGAGGAACAATTTCTGCAACTCTGTGAAAATAATGCTGGAATTTCTTACCAAAGTCCCCAGGGACGAAGATGTCATAGACACAGATCTGGCCTCGGGTGTAATTATGTGGGTAGTTTGGGGACAGCACAGTTCCCTCTGAACCTGTGAAATGACCTCCACAGGGAGCTGTGGGGACCGGAGAGAAAGCAACAGAGAGGCATGGTTAAAAAAAAACTTGGAAAAAAAACACCTGACAATACCTGGGGAAATGAGGTAATAAAATACAATCAGCAAATCTGTTTTAACGGGCACAAGTGCACAGGTAAGCAGTTCGTATCACAAATGAGATCAAAAGTCACATTTCAACTTCAGCTGCTGACATATTAAATTGTGGCTGGCTTACAGAAATCATTTCAAACTTGAAAGACAGTTTAGGGACATTTTTTGAGGAAAAGGGAGTTGCAAGAGAACAGAAAAGTACAGCTGAGTTGTGTTTACATTGTTTTAAACCTAAAGGGGCTATAAAAAAGAAAAAAGTTTGATTTACCTTCAAACTGTGTGAAAACATGATAAATCAACAAAACGCACAATCACAAAAGTTCCACATGCCTGTGACTTTAATCAGCCCATATCACCCAGCAGCATGTTCAAAAAAACATCTTGGGTTCAACTTTCAACTACAACAGGCTTTAAGATTGTGTACATAGCAGATCCAGCTACTCTGGTTTAGAGATTTATGGATTTTTTAAATGCAATCTTGATCCAATAAAAGTTGATTAAAAAACGAGGGATGCAACATGTCTTTGAATACTACCAGCTCCAAACAAAGAGTATTGCTTTATTTGCATCATCATCACAGTGTCAACAGATCTTAAGACATGCGACTTGGTTAATCAATATAAGCCGCGGTCTGTCCTGCACATCTCAAGAGTTCTATCTTAAGCTGTCAATGATGTACTTAATTTGCCAATCGGCTATTTACCACAGTTGTCTAAGATCTCGTGGACTGAGCCATCGGGTGGGGGAGCCTCAACTGTAAACAAGCACATACTCATTTTGTTGGAGGGAAGCTGTCACCAGCTGCTCTGAACCTCCTGTGGCCAACACAATGCACATGTCATTGCTGTTTCAGAGCACAGGAGAAGATGAACAAAAGTGAACGGAGGCGCTTATTTAGAAAGATGGATCAGCAATTTATCCACGTTTGGTATTTGGAGTAGAAAAAGGCATGTAATCAAGCATATGTGATGACGGCAAGTGGGACTCTAAGTCAGGCTGATTTGTCAGACAGAATGGGAGCCACATAGTCGTGGTGGGTGAGGAATATGAGACTGCTGCTAGTGGGAAGGAGGGCATACTGTTCTGTCAATCACCAGCAGGTGAAAGCAGCAGCAAGAGGAAAAGATATGCTTTAATGACTCCTTTCTGACAGGGGAGTGTAGTGGTAAGGAGAAGTGGGCACACTGCAAACCCTATCATTTTGTGTTCTGAGTGAGACAGATGGGTAGAAATAACCCGGATGCCCTAAAAAAAGCATGGCTTATTACTGTAATCTATATATATATATATATATATATATATATATATATATGTGTGATGTTATAGAGAATCAGGTTGCTTTCGGCTTTAAGAAAGGTTAGATTACCCTTGAAATCTATACCATCTATTTCTGTTTTATTTTGTATTCATTATTGATGGTTGCATTTGGCCTTTTGTTAAAATGTGTGAATGCTGTATAATTAAAAGGCACCGGTTTACATTTGAAGGATATTGACTTAGTCATTCAATCCACTCCTTCAGAACGGCATCAGAGCTAATGGAACTGTCACAGCACAATAGGACTAATCTCATAAACTGAATGTATTGGACCAAATGCTAAAATGTAGGGAGAAAATGCTTTTAATGGAAATTTAAAATAGGAGCATTGAATAGTAAGTGATTGATACCCATTGATAGCATTAAACTTGATGCTCCCTGACTAAAATTTAGTTACTGATTAGCTGATTAGCTGGTTAGCTAATTATTACCTGATTAGCTGGGATCCAAACAAAGAGAAAACTCAAACATATCTTTGGAACTTGTAGGCATTTGTTAATATGAAGTTATATCTTTGATAAGCTGATGAATGGTTAATGGCAAACAGACAGACTGTACTTATAATTTCTCTAGTCTTCTGACCACAAAAAAGTGGTTTTACACTACATGTAACATTCACCTATTCACAAATATACATAGACTAACACATCAGTAGATATTATGTAAAGTGCCCATCAGTATTAACCTTTCACAGCCATACGCATTCACACGCTGATGGCTATGGAGCTCAGGAGCAGTCAACCTTCTGATTGAAAGACGACCGACTGAGCCACAGCCACCAAATACTGACCAATAGTAGAGACCCTAGGGACCAGTATTAGCATGTCTATTAAAGTGTGATTACTGCTGGCCATTAAACAGCAAATAATAAAACAGGATTCAGTCTTTTCGTCAATAACTAACTTTTTAAAAGTGGACTGCATGTTTGCCTGTATAGGAAATATGATCAACTTCAGCTAATTGCTGAATAATTTGGAGGGTCAGGAGCTGACCATATGTTGTGGCAGCTGAAGCCATAACATTTAGCCTTTAGACTGTAAAGTTATCAGTTCAAATTTGGTCTCTTAGTAGAAATACTAAATGAGAGTTGCTGATGGACCTTTTAGCAAAGCACATAACCCCAGGGCTGTTCAGTGAAGTTACAAAGGTGCCAACTGTAAAAGTAATGAATAGCTCCCTGGTGGGGGAGCGGATGCCTCTGTTCCCCACTGCTGAAAATGAGAGCTGAATTCTAATTCAACCTTGGCAGATAAAACCATTTGAGTAGTATTAAAAATGGTGTAATGCTTCTGGAGGGAGGAGAACTGTGTATTTACCTCGACACTCTTTACATCTTTCCACCCCTCTCTAGTTGATATAGATCATGGAGATACTAAAAAGAAGTATGAAATATCTACTCCTTAGACTTGCCTTGCAAATAAACATTGGGTTTATTATGTTCTTAGGAATAACTGAAATTCTACAATAACTACAACCATGAAATGGACTTCTTTTCAAACAGTTCATGTCAACTCTTTGTGATGTCAGCTGTTCATTATTCAACACCAGGATTAATTTAAACATTAACTTATCCTGCACACTAAACAGAGTTAAACAGTGTTAACACACTGTAGCGTTCATACTTTCATTTATACGTTTATTTTATTTGATAATATGCCTCCTTGTGAAGTCAGGGCTTTGCACATTATGAACGTATTATTGCTGCTTCTTTCACCTACTATTTAATTGGAGCTCTTATGTATGGCTTTAATAACAGAAAATGCAGGTTTGATGTCACCCATTGGTTTGTAAACTGCCTTAGTAGTGACATGACAACCACTGGTAGCCAGGCATTCTTTGTATTTCTCAATTTGGGACCATATTGAGAAAAAATAACATTTTATGGTGTTGTAGAAGATTTCAAACTAACGACTGAGACAACAATCTCATTAGAAAAGTGTTTACTGAGTTAATGTATGAATTTAGAAGTAGGTTTTAGTTTACCGTCACAGGGCCAGATTCCATTTAGTACGTTTGACTTTATGAATATTCAATATGGGGCGTTTCTGCCCTAACGTGCAAAATACTGGGAGGAGAAAATGCAAACAAGTTAAGTTAGTACACGCATTGTGATTTACCAAACCTGACAAAAATTGCAGTGATTGTGACAGTGTCTGTATTTAACACCTTTGAAAAGAACGTGCTAATCCAGGAGACCAGTGTTACACATAACAGGCTGCTGTTATTGAAGTTAGGAGGAGACGTAGACACAACAAAGGAAGACATAAAGATCGCGTTTTTCCCCACAAGTGTTTACATGTTTCAAATTACATGTTTACATGTTTTAAATTTGATTCAATATTGTAATCTTTAAAGAAGAGAAACACCACGATTAAACTACAGGCTATTGTTGCCATAGCCTACAGCCTAAGAAAACTGAACATTCACAGCCTCTGAATTCTAAAGAATTTCAACATTGACATTTATTTCTTCCTATTTCTTTTCGCCAACATTATATTTTAAACTGGGGATTTCCTTTTTCTCGGGTTGCGCGTCTTCCCCCTACACTGTAGGATGCTTGGATTGGGGGACCTCACCACTGTTTGTACCCCCGTCTTCGATACCTTTTTCCAGGGCATTTATGTCAGATCAGACACAGCGCTGGCCAGCTGTCTGGTGCGCAACAACGGCAAGTGTAGAGCGCCCGGTCCACAGAGGAGGCAGCTCGCACATCCTGCGCAATGTATGTCACTTCATTCTTAAGATTAAGGGAAGAAAAGAGAGGCCCTGTTTAATGCCGGTGTTTTCTACAAATTTCTTTGTAATATTCAGATTTAAATCCTATAACTCGAAAGTATTGTGCGTTTATTTGCCTCTCCAACTGATACCTATTTTGCGCTTGCAGTCGTCCTGCTTTCTGTCCAAACTCTCCATGACGTAAACCAGTAGAACACGCAAAAACCTAACTTATTATTACCGCCTCCACAAGGTTTGCACCTGTTGTCATTCACGCAAATTGTCTTAGTAGATCACCCGCAAAACGCCCACCAACCAAACGTGCAAACTTTTGGAGTGAACACACAATTTAGTACTCTTTAATTGGAAGCTTAGTAAATCTGGCACTTACTGTACTCCCCCTACTGGCCATTAGTAGGAATGCTTGACTGAGGCACTTCTGCATTAGCTTCACGTTTACAAGTCCTTGTTCACTTCTTATATTCAGCCAATGGTTTAAGGACTTTGTTTTTGTGGATTTATAAGATGATCCTTTGATGACAAGAAAAACTACGTGCACAGGTGGATTTTGTTGCTACCTGTAAATATTATGCTTCAAAGAACAATGTTTTGGTCTTGAAAGGTTTCAGAAACCCTATTTGGCATCTTGGGGTGTATTAGAAATAACACTTTCCACATAAAGACTTGGAAGGCTAGGTACAAGGAAACGTGATATCCTACTTTTCAAATATGTATAATTAAATGCAAAAGCAAAAAGAAACACACATATGACACAGTATCACACATTACTTTTCATTGTAACTCTGCTTATGCTGCAGAGATTTAGATGTATTTTTATACATTTATTTGATAGACTAACCAGATGAGTGCTCTTATTTATTTAATATTTTATATGACTATGTTAGATGAAGAATTGAGACAATGTTGCCCCTGTTCTTATTTATATTTACTATATATATATATATATATATATATATATATATATATATATATATATATAGATAGATACACTGTATATAAAATATTTCTCATCTATTATACATATTTTTCTTTCAGTTTGCTTTTCTTGTATTCAGTGAAATGCGTGCATGCACTTCAAATTATTTTAACAGTGTCCAGTTCTGGCATCACATTGTATCATATTATTGACAAAACAGCTGGAGTTCACTTCTCTGCTACCCAGACATTCGGTTAATGTGAAAGTGTTGTCTCTCACCTTGACAGCTTGGCTTGGCTCTATCCCACTCTGGCCTCTTGCTGTTGCCCATGACACATGTCAGAGTGGAGTAGCCCTGCAGCAGGTAGCCAGCCTCACAATGAAATGTCACCATAGAACCCAGCTTGTAGTCAGTACCCATTCTGGTGCCATTCATCATATTCCCTGGATCAAAACACGCCTCCCGCAGTTTTGCTGCCAGTCAAAAAACAAAGGTTTTAGAACAGTGACTGTCCAAAGTGAGAGGCATTTCTAATCAAGCAGAGACAGATTCAAACAGTTATACAGGCTGCAAGGCTGCATAGAATTTAACAAAACTGCTTTTAAAAAGCTAGATTGAAAACAAAGTGGAAATGGATATGGATGAATAAAAGGCTATACACATAAGCGGGCATCAAGAAAACAGTTTGTGTGTAGGCTCCAGCAGCAAACTTTAAAGATGTTTTCTGCCTAATACATTTATATCTAATCCTGCTACAACAAAAAAACATACTGCGTGAACATGCATATAGAGGCCTCCCTGCATAGGCCTTCAGAGTACCTTTGTATTCCAAATGAAAGCCGGTGTAGCTCACAGACCCATCACTGCGAAATGCCAGGTACATGAAGTTGGAAGTGCTCTCAATCTTCTCAGGAAGTTTACTGTCCTGGAAACTGCCAATCAGGTGAGACGTGCTGTCTGACCCATCGTAGATGTACAAGAAATCGTAGTTGGGCTCAATACTGAAGCTGTGACAAGTAAAAGAAACAGACAAATAGGAGATAAAACAGTATTATGTTGCCAGGTCTGAACCACCAGATTGTACAGATTGTATGAGATTTTGAATGCATTAGGGTTTCAAAATGAGAGTGTACCGCAGTGCTAGAAGTGAGTCATGCCAGGCGATTTGTTTTGCATCTCCAGACAAAGAGATAAAAAAAGATATCTCCCCCAAGAGGTGAGAAGAGATTAAATTGTTGTGACACTACGCTGGCACAAAATCTTCCCAGACGGCAATGGCAATGCAGTGTGAAAAGATCGTTTCATATTGTAGTGCTGTATATCAAATCACATGCCGCAGTGAGAGAAAGAGCAACTTTGTTTTCAAAATAATGAGCGCGGTTTATGACAAAAATGTAAATAGCTTGGAGATAATTGCATTTGAGTTGGATCAAGGCAACTCCAATTTTAAATCATAACTCCATCCTTTCATTTGGTATCCCTGGGAGACAAAGCCGCATTGTGCTAACTCTGTTACATGTTTGTTTTGAAGGACAAAGTTGCAACAGAAACATGGTGAATTTCTCTTCACACCTCGAGGAGAGGTAATGTGGGTGGGAATGCAAAAAGACCACTGCTCGTTTCAACCCCTTCATGAAATAACTTTAAAAAAATTAACTCAACAGTCAAGAGCAGCTCTAACCATGAAAAGTGCCCTGAGGCATATCTGTGAGTTTCCTTTTCCAGGATTGCTGCAACATGCTAAGACTGCAATTAGTAATGTAAAGCTTACAGTGCGAGTATCACTCAACCTTAAAATGAATTGCAATCATATCCAAGTTCTGTCTGCAATATACCGGAACTGCATACATCTAGAAATCTTGTTTCACAACATTTCAGCTAAGTGGCAGAAATACCTGCCTTTTGGCTGTTTAAAGAGGGACTGCTGCTTCCCCCTATCTCCCAACACACCTGGACTCAAACTCAGGCCCTGTGTTTAGCACACATGGCCACCTTTGGTCAATACTATGATGTTATAGCTGGTTCCACTGCAGAAAGCAAGCAATTCCACATCAGAACTTAAGCCGATGTGCATCCACTAAAGACTGACTCCACTCTGTTTCAGCTATGTTACAAACACTACAGGTGAAGGGAAACCTTTCATGTACTAAAATGACAAAACATCAGTTTTCTCTTTTTCTCCAGAATCATTTACAAGAACCATTGTTTATATGTTCAAGAAACAATCAGGTTATGATTTGTTTGTAACAATTGTTAGAAATAACTTTTTTGATAAACTGTTAAAAAAGTATCAAACCGTTGTCCTTTCAAATGTATATTATGCAACTGCGACTAAACAAGCCAGTAGTTTCACATGTTATCCAGCATTGAGGACAGCCAGGGTTTTCCTGTTTGATGTTTTAACTGAAACCAAATGAACAAAGTAAAATAGACACTGTTGAAGCTGAAATTACCTGATGAAAGCCAAGGAAATGACATAGTCAGAGTGGACAGCAATAAGCCAGTCACAGTCTTTGCTGTGTGGGTAGGGGTTTGGGTAGTTGGGAGAGAGGATGAATCCTGAAGATCCAGTCACATTTCCACCACATGGAGCTTGAGAGACAAAAAAGGTGGGAAACAATGTGAATAAAAACGACGCACACAATCATGACTAAAATAATCTTTAACTGACCTGCTGCAAACATTTTGGACTGAGCAGAGTTTAGTTTGAGACGGGTATGAAATGAGCATCTGTAGGTCATTAAATATAATTGAGCCCAATTCAATGACCTTTGTGAACCTCTATCAGCAACAACCATCAAGTACTGTGGTGAAATAGTGTCAAAAAGAGGGTATTAGAAAGACTACGCTATTACTCTGCTACATAATGATCAAAAGAGCAAGCTTCTGGTCCCTTGTCTTACCAAGGCATCGGATCTTGCTGCTAGATTTTTTTATTATTTCTGGTGCAGCCGTTAAACATTGTAATTGACGCTTGACAAGTCAGCTGTGCACAGAGTGTAGTTGCACATCTCAAGTCATAAGATACAATAACTACAGAAAACAAGCAAACATGACACTAAAAAACATGGAATACCAACATATTAAGATGATCTAAGAATAAAATTATAATAAATCTGGTAGCACATTTGTGCTCTAGGACTTACGGAAACTGAATAGCTTAAGTTTTTGTGTTTTAATGCCTCTGTATGTCAGAGGAAAGTCTTTGCTCTGAAACTTATGGCTCAACAAAATACTAAGCTAGCTGTCACAGACCCCACATAGTGGTGTGAGTACCACACTGATGAGTGTTTTAGTCTTCATTGATGTGGTGACACTTACTGTGTAAAAGGACAGCTGACATTTACTCATGCAGACTGCCTTCTGGTGTCAAAATATTATGCTGAGTCATTGTGTCATGTAAATGGATTGAAAGATCTAAAAAAAAAAAAAAGTAGTTGGCAGGGACTCCAGTAAGAGTTTCTTATGTGTGATTATTTCTAATTGACTTATAAAGTAATTAGTAGTTAAGCTCTAATAAGACAATGTGTTGGGAGACTGTAGTACTCATTCTTTGACTGGCTACTGAAGAAGTGGGTATATCCACACAATAGCTGGCAATGACTCAAACATTTCTAAAGAGTCTTGTTTATCCTACACATATTTTAAAACCTCAGCGTGAGAGAATAAAAGTCTCTGCTCCAGCCAGTTAATATAAAAACTCCCCCTTCCCCTCATCCTCTCACCATCTCTCTTTCACTCTGATCTTTACACTTCCCCTCCTCTCCTTTATTTCAGAAACACCTCTCTGTCCCCTCCATGCATCCCCCCTTCCTTCTCTAACTCATACTATCTCCTGCTCACTCACCGATGCAGCTTGCAGGACTGGGCTGCCAGTAGTATCTATTTTCCACTTGGATGCAGGTGATTCTGCTCTCCCCCTGCAATTCATATCCCGGATCACAAGAGAAGGTCACAGAGTCGCCAGGCTCCCGACCTTCCCCGTTGCGACTGCCGTTCATGGGAATACCTGGATCTCTGCAAGCTGTCGCAAGTGAACCTGAAGGGCAAGCACACGTTATTCTCACATAAACATGTGCATGCAGAGTACCAAGTATCAATAAACACAGGAGATACACAGATATACACACAGAGTTTCATATCATATGGCAGACAGCTGTTGGGCTGGAACTCCAGCTCAAATAGAGTTAGAGCAGGGAGCAGATTACAGACTGACATCAGTCAAAATCCTGCCGTGTTTTCCTAATCAGGTTTCCTAAACCGCAGCTGTGGAGCAGCCGAGAGCCAGCTGAACGATCAGCTAAAATCTGATGGATTCTTCAAATATTCCCATCTTGACAGACTCCACTGAAAGATTTAACTCAGTTAAGTTTATTGCAGAATTTTGGTGTTGGTGCTTTTTCACAAATACACCTTAGCACATGTAGAACTGTTGAAAATTGTAAAATGAAAGGCAAATCCTGTAAAATAAATATAAGATGGCATACACAGCACAATATATCATTCAACATGTGGATGTGAAATAATCAATCAATACAATTTTACATCCATGAAACATAGATGGTTAACATAGCATAACTTTTGTTGGAGCATGGCTTTACATTTTAATATCATGTGCAATATTCCTTTTCCAAATGAGGTTCCACATACAATATTACTGATCCATTACACTTATTAACAACCATGTGCAATATTACTTTACAGTTGCTATGTTGTGCAATAATACTTTTAATTATTATTACATCCAATTACATTTAATATCACATTCCATCCTAAATCAATTATCTCTTACCGCTCTTTATAACTGCCAGTATAACTATTCCTCTATAATGTCATTATATTTCTACTCAGCTTTCTTTTGTTATTTATTTTACTTCCGTTGCTATTCTATTTGCGGTACTATTTTGTTGCATCACTACATTGTGATCATACACTTTTTTGCTTTGTGTTGCTCATACTTTTTCCTGGAATTTTTTAGCAACTTGGCACTCACATTTACTGCATATAAAGTTTTAAAATAAAATCAAAATGAAACACATACAGCTTCAAACCTGGCATATACTTTAATCCTCCAAATACATTTATAAGCCTTAGTTCTATGCACAAGACTGTACCGTTCATCGAAGGAGATTTGCAAAAGTTCACTGAACACATCCAGCCTTTTGGTTCAGAAAACCACTAGCCTTAGGCAAACTGCATATATTACTATACAGTTTCCAAGTGGATTCCAACATCAAAACAGTGTGGTGAATTCAGATAATTGATTTTTACATTATGCTGCCATGCCAGTGTACTTGAAGGAAAATGAAAACATTTACAAATTCATCATAAATGGCATGCATGAGGTGTTATGGAACTGCTGTACTCTTGTGTTTGGGTTTTTGAAACTACTCATCAGCAGAACATGTCGACTGCATTAATATTAAAGCAGCAAACCTTGCACAAGAGACTGATGGAAGCCAACTGTGTAATACCTGGGAGTTTTACCACTCACTGACACACGGGTGATTATATAAAACACAAAGATTGTCATGGCATGAGGAAATGTATAAATTACAAGCTGCGCTTTAATTAAGTTCAGTGACTTGATATCAATCAGGGTTTTACTCCTTTCTTACTCAGCAGTAATAACACTGAAGTGTGCTGTCACCTCTTAGGAAGGTCCAATAGCATTTAATCTAAACAGAGGTTTACAAAAATCCCTTCAGATAAGTACACATGATTAGAAAACCTGGACCTGGACATTCATATAAGTTGAGTTTAATGCCTGATGTTTTTCAACACCGCTCCCTCTGTAACAAAATACAAATGTGCATACAGGACACAGAATACTTAGAAAGACATACTCACTGGAGAAGTCAATGGCAAAGCCAGACTTGGTGATATAAAAGTCAGTCTCAAACTGAATGGTTACAGTGTTGAGAGTGGAGTGGATCCCCTCGGGCAGCAGAGAGCCGCTCACCTCCCTCAGAGACATCTCGTTCTCAGGAGGCCCGTCCCACACCTTCAAGATGTCGTGGGAAGCCTCTGTATCAAATGCTAGAAACTGAAGGCTGGAAGAGGTGAACACATAATTGTTACTTTGGCCCGGTTTGGCTTTAGTTTAATTGAGTCTATTTATTTCTTTGCATTTAAAATGAGCTTTTCTCTGTTTGAACAAAGCTCACAGATGAGCTCAGGTTGTATGGTTTATTCAATTATACTTGGTTGAATAAATGATGATTGAGTTCCTTTGCATCATAATTCTAACAAAAACTGATGTTCTCAGGAAGGCAAGCAAAGGATGCTGAACTTTGTCTGGATTGATCTCTCCGCTGAGAACAATTTAATCTTACACAGGGTGCTCATGCTTTTGGGCACATCAGTTCAGATTTGGTATCATTAATCATTTTTTTCCGATGCAAGAGAGACGAAAGCACGGACTTATCTACAATCTCATCATGAGATGTCCTGGAGGAGCTCTTCTGACAAAGAACGTGTGGCTGACTTTATGAAATCATACCATGTTTACTTCTACCTCTAAGCCCAAACGGGTTTCATTTCATAGCAATACTGGGCGCTCACAACCGCAAAAAAAAAGAAAAGCCTTCATGTCCCAAGAAAATTCCCCTAGGTGCTGTCACATGTCTACAGAGTCCCTGTCCCAATCATTGTAAAAGAAGCTGCTGCTGTGGGCTGTTTCTCTTGATGACATAGTTGAGATTTTAAACATGAACTCCTCTACAGCTTTGAGTTTTACAATGTCGCTGTAAAATATCTTTTTGGATGTTTTGATCGTTAGGATTTTAGTCAGGTCAACTAAGCATGACCTCATGTCATTTCAGAAGTATTTAAAATCAGATCCATGCAGCTTAAGGCAGATTCATTGTGTATAAACTGTATTTTTAGGATGGCACAAATCACATGCCCTGTAGTTTAATCACATCAATCATCCAAGTGTCCAACCTTGCTTTTGTTAATATGAATGTATTCATTACATACTAGTTACTAAGACTTGTAATTTAAGACCCAGCTATAGGTATTACTCTCTTTCACCCACTTCTATCGTGAGTAATGATGCTCAGTACAATTTGCATGCTTTGATAAATCATTGCAAATCCTAATTTAAATGTTCTTAATTCCATTGTTTTTAAAAAGTTATAAATCCCAATGATAATTGAAACTTGCGTTACCTGACAATGTTGCCTGAGTTCACCTCAATGGTCCAGGTGCATCTCAGGTTGTTGTCGTAGGGGAAGGGGTACCCAGGAGAGAGGATACGCCCTGTAGACTCCCCCTTAAAACTGCCCCCACACTCAGCTGCATGCACACAAACAGAATAACATGAAATACATGAAAACTTCTAAAAAAGAAATCTCACTCAAGAGGAAATATAGACACAAGCACACACAAGCAAACATTCATAGAGTATGGTAAAAGGGGGGGGGGGCTGTCAGAGCCCAAGTTCAGTGTGGCTACAATGAGGACTAATGAGCAACAGTGTGAGCTCGGCTGAAAATGAACAATTTTCCTTTTTTTTTTTTTTTTACAGATAATGGGACTGCAACAAGGACTTCCTGCCTGAGCAGAGATACTCACGGATGCAAAACTTGTTTTGACTGTAAGTATGCCTCCTAATGATGTCATTAATTAACTTTAAAAAAAAAAGATTGTGTCCTGAGAATAAATAGACTGAGCTTTGCTCTGCAGGGAGGACACTGCAACAAATGTTAATGCCTGAAGGAATATCTCATCATCCAATCTATGTTGTCTCTCTCCTGGTTATCCTCCTGCTATCTGTATTACAGAACAAACAGCACTTAATTAATAGGAAAATCGCATTAGACTGCCACAGTGGTAGGCTATTATCAGTATAATAACACTGGGCAAATGTAGAAGTCCTTGACAGGAGCCAGGCTGTAACTCAGTGAAATGCCTTTTAACATTCAGCTCCCAGATACTATCTCACTATCAATACTGTCCAGTTACTGACCCAGCACTGTTAAACAGCTAATCAATAGATTGATTTATCTTTTTATGTGATTGTTTTAAAAATGCCAGTATACCAGAGCAAAATACACGTTTCGTTGAAAAAGGCGCCGGAACACAAAGTGAATATGGTGCAATTCTGCCCACGTCCGGAAGTTGGAAATCATTTTTTAACCTAATCCATCACTGCTAGACATCAGGAAACAGACATTGCCTCCCAACACCTTCCAGACTGTAGCAGCGTGCAGGTAATAGCTTTATCATTTCACAGTCTTTCCGCCTCAGCATGTTCTGAATATGAAAGTACAGCAAAGACTGTACATCATGCTCGTCACTCAGTCTGATTTGAACACTTGGGTAATTATGCCTTGACTTCAGAATAATGCTGATCAATGGGATACGAAAATGAAAAATTATAGTCTGTGAATGAGGCACAGTCAGTGAAACACATGGACAGCTCCATAGTAATTAAGATTGCTTTACTACATTGTTCTTGAGGAGTCTTTACAAATAGTTCTGCATACGAAACAGAGAGATCAATAACTCACCACATAACCTCAGAGCTGTTTATATTCTCAATAACAAGCTGTCTATTTTCTCACAACACAGTTCAATTAAGGAGAAATCATCTTGTATAAATCCTTGGGATTAACACCTAGCTGGGCATTGTTGATGCTGTGCCTGTTTGGAATATCAATGTATGCTACCAACAAAAATTAGAAAAACAGAGATGGATTTAGCTGAGATATAGAGTGTCTAGGACCAGAACCTGAAATCGAGACACATACAGCCAACAGAAAAAGGAAGAAATAATTACCTATACATGATGGCAGATTGTTGTCCCATGCCCTTCTCTCCCCTGTCATGCACTTAAGTATGCCACTGCCATGCAGGGTGTAACCTTGGTCACAGCCGAACGTGATGGCACTTCCAGCAAAGTGACCCTGGTCACTGACTTTAAAGCCAAACTGCGGCACCCCTGGATCATCACAGTGGGACAGCTCAAAACCTGGAAGAGAAAGATTAAAAGACAAGGAGTGGAGAAGGATAGAGAGAGAAATAGTTGAGTGACTATTATAACATGAAGAGCATGAACTCGTACAAACACAAAACTACTTGTCAGCATTTAAAGTTCATTGGAGAGCAGCCATTCAGTAAACCAGTTCCATATTCCCATCTATCTGCAGGGTAAAGAGGTATTGATTGAGCTTTGAGAATCATTTCCAGCAGAGCGCAGATGAGGCCCGTGTCTATAGACCCACTATATTACTTGGCAGTAAAAGATTCTTTTTGAACAGAGCGAACAATTAGATGGTCACAATTAAATTGTTAATGGAGTGTGGACATTCACAGCGATTGAAAAAAAGGTCACACACTTGTAACACTTTGGGGCAATACTAAAGAAATAAAATAAACAAGCCGCCAACAAACAAAATGGTACCATAACTCTGAAGCTCACTATGTTTGAACCTGACCCTGACTGCTAGATGTGTTCCTCTATTTCAGGTACTAAATGTAAGTGTTCTGCTATGCAGCAACAGTGGCCACACATAAACCCTGCAGAGTTGATTTATGGTCACTTCTCCATGCCCATGCAAGATGTTATGGTAGTATTACAAGTGTCATGCCCAGTATAAATCTCCTGCAGTTACTGCTCACATTTAGAAAATTACCTCGGCACTTTTGGTAGAAGAGTCATGAAAACATTATCAGATTTCATGTTCAGACGAGATAGAACTTTCTAATGTCCCAGCTCTTTGCCCTTATGCTGTTCATACATGGGTAACGCCTTCCCAAACTGAATAAGCTATTCATTTTAGCTGAAAAGAACAAGCAAAGGATGCTCTTTAAAATGTTTGAAGGTTGCTGGCTTACATTATGCCATTTATCTTGTGCACATCCCTGGAAAAATCAGAAATTTAAACTAATTACGTGCTACTTAATTACGGGTAATTTTGTAACTGAAACGGCAGCTTGTAATTAACTCATCGTTTCTCCTGAACTAATTGTAGTTGCATTTAGATGCTGATGAATGTATTTAGCTGTAAATGAGTGCACATTTATGATTAATTTCCTTTTTTTGCAGGTCTGTCAGGATGTTAAATCAAAACAAGAGTAATGCTGAAATGCACCCTAGTGTTTAAATGTTTTTATTTGAACCTGTTGGCACATTTGGTATAACTATCACAGAGTGAAAATTGCAATTATGGGCCCCATGACTGCAAGTTAGCCTGAAACTTTTTGGCTTTTGTACTTCGTGAGGTAACACAGCACTTGGCATGATGCCATTCTCACTAAGTATGCTGAATTCTAACTTGGAAAAACCCACAGCAAGATAAAAAGAATTCAAAGCTCAATTGTAGGTGAAACACAAAACCACTTTAAATTGGACTGCAAAATGCAGTCTCACCAAAACATTCTCGCATCACAGTAATAAATTAGAAACAGTTAGCAACAATACACAGTCAGCAGGCCAATTAGCCAAAGCCAGAAACGAAACCCATCTATTACTGGTCCTGTTAGAGAAATGACCCAAAAATTCAATACGAAAACACACTAACGCGTTCTGTATGCAAAGGCACACACTATTAACAATGCATGCTCATCGTTAACGCACACAGAAACACAATGATTTCAAACATTCCCACCAATGTTTCACCTGTTTAAACAAAGTACAGTAAGGCAGGAATGGGCACTTTTGCAGGATTGGTAGCCAAAGGGAAAAAAGGGAAAAGGATCCACAAAGAGAGATGCAAAGGGACAGGAATGGCGCAGAAACACCATGCTGTGCTTAATGGCTACCTTGGCTGTAAACGACACAGTGAAGCAGGGTGAGGGTCAATTAAAAATTTCTTTTAAATTCTGCTACTTGAAATGGCCTGGCTCCTCAAGTGAGGCAAAATTCACTCATTTGGAAAAGCTTTAGGGCCCTCCTTCTCCAGGGAAATGAAATGTGACTTACTGTGGTATATGAGCCGGAACCCTGCTGCCGTTGCCTCCTGGTCAGAGTAAAATTCAAGCCAGAGATAGTTGGAGGTGCTGGTAAGGGACAGACCTTGCATCAACGTGCCTGTGAATGTGCCAAGGAGTGGGGCTGCTCCGTCTTTGCCATCATACACCTAACCAGAGACAGAGAAGAACATGATGGAGAGCTTTGCTGTGAGTATTTAATACCCTCAATAAAGAAGAGCGATAATATGAAGAATTAAATATTAATGCATAAGAAAGAGAGCCACAATTAGATGGAGCTATTAGTCCTGTATATCCTCTGTTTAATATGGCATCTCTATTGCAAAGCCAATGTCCTAAATAGGCTGTGAAAATGAGATTGCAGTGACCGTAATTCTCCCCATTGATTTGATCTTGTGCAGCTGTAGAGCTAAATTAACAAGGCAGGTTCATGTTAACCCCCCCACCCCCCCCAAAAAAATACAAAATAATAATAGTTTCACATTAAAGTAGTCAAATCTAAAAATAGATAAATATTGTATTTCTAAGAGTGAGGTACATTGTTTTCTCTTTTATTCATAAAAAATAAACACAATTTAACACATTCAACATAGTTAACCTTTTTTTTGCTTCATCCCGTATATCTTTTGATCAACACCCCTTTTTCATATTATTTGTCGAAAAAGCTCCATTTCAAAAGTCCAAAGTACACATTTCCAGTAGTATGCCTCATTTCCCCTGATTGACAGTGAGAAATAACAAGAAATAGTCTTCTTAATTTTGTTTTAGCCTTTTTTCCAAGTCATCTCTAAGCATGTCTTTCCTCATTTCAGATGTTCACAAAATGACTAAGTCCAAGAGATTACCGTCTGCACAGCTCCATTAATAGAAACACAGATAGAAGGCCATAATGTTTTGTTAATTGAAGCATTAGAAAAGACATCTGCATCCCAAAAAGAGTGCTTTCCAGCTGTGAAGAGGCGACTACATAGTCATTTGCATCCAATCTGTGGTGCTTACAAAAAGTGTGAAAATGCCCTTGAGCAAAGAAATGTATCCCTTCCTTCCCAAAGGGATGATGATGCTGCTGCTGTTTGACCTTTGCTCCAGCTTTCAAGGCAAGACACTCTGCATTCTGCCTGGTGCTTCATCATAATCCCCTGTCAAGTAACCCATGTTGTACATAATAAAAGGCACGAGGACCTGCCTCATTTACTTAAACATTCATTAAATAATGACACAAATTGGATGACTTATCTCTTAGCTAAAGAACTGTGTTTATTTGTTGATTATCTGTTTTCTGTCAACAAAGAGGATGACGGCTTTGTGTCTTTACCTTGAGGACGTCACCTTGTGCAAGTTGAAATGTGCTGGCGGTGATGTTGATGCCTTTCCCTGTTTGGACCTGTATGCTGTACACACATTCATGACTGTTGTCATAGCTCATTGGATAGTTTGGTGACAAAAGAACTCCCTCGTTGTTGGAGACTGTTGATCCACACTCAGCTGAAAGAAGAAAAAACACACACAAAAAAAAAACATCAGTTACACAAAAGGAAATGCAAAGACAGACTCTCCAAGGTTTAAATCAGACTCTAAAATGACTGTTCATTGTATAACCTTAGCATTTTACTGAAGAGATAAAGTTATAATCAAGTGTCTTTTTTGGATGATAAATATGGCTGATCCATCCATGTGTCCATCTTTTTTATTCGTTAACTATTGCAGTAATCATTATCATCTGGCAGTGACACATTGTGAATTACTGGAAAGATTATTAAAGTCTTGGTGAAAGTACATTACAGGTTCAGTTCTGAGATTTGCCCAACTGGCTTCTCCGCACCATGCCAGCACTAAACCAAAGAGGATAGCATTTTAAAATGAACTCTTTAAATCATTAAGTAAAGAGAAAACATCTGAATGGGAGCGGGAGCCATACTTGCTATGCATCTTCTGCATGGTTGATTTATCCCAAGTACCACGTGAGGCAACTTTTAAATTTATTTGCTATCCTTAGAAACAGGAGCAAACCTTCTTTAAAACTCATTACCATTTAATGGATGTCACTTAAAGGCATATATACATGTTTTTGCTATTTGTTTCCCCGCATTTTTATCATGTAAAATTGATGTCATCACAGCAGTTCTTCACTAACAGAGTAAACGCTTGTTACAGAGGCTGGGTTGTGCAGAAACGTGGAAAGCACATCTTCATCTCAGGTCAAATGATTCCAGGCCCATGACCCAGACGGCGAGGAGGTGAATTGAAACCTGCAGAATGTAGCCTATATTGATGTTTCTTATACATTTTATTTCACTAAACATCAAACTTTAATGACAGATCCACGTCATATAAACATTAAAACCAGCCATTGTTTTATGTTCGCATGCAGTGAGCCGTTTTCAATAAGTAATGTTTGATATGATATAATATAGAGGACCAGACTATGAACTAATTTAATCACTGATGTAGAAATCAGAACTAACACAAAAGCCATAGCGCCACCAGTTTTCATTAATACCTTTGAATATCATGTTATATTTATCATCAAGTGTGATTTTTAGTTTTAATACAGAGGACTGAGCTGCAAGACGCACAGAGCGCACAGAGACATGGCGTGGCTTTACACATTTCGCCTTCTCGTTACTCAGCACATCTTCATCACCTGCACGTATTTATTGTGTAAATAATTCAAGTGTGGACATTAAGTCGGGTCATCTCTGACCCGGTCTCTCACGATCATTAGGCCTATCCTCATAATGAATCACAGAGCAGATGCAGTTTCCCATGAAAAAATGTGGCCAACAATCAAAAGTCGTTGTTCATTTCTCAAACCTTTGATTAATAATATCATAGAGTGAGGGAGACTGCTGACTGATGTGTCCTCTCAATATCTGAAGAAATCAGTGTGGGTCCCTTAAACATTTAAACATTGCGGATACACTCGTGTAATGATGAACGGCGTATGTTTTGGCACTAGAGGAGGGCTGCTATATGTAGCAGTGACGTGGTGTCATTCTCTGACTTTTGTCAAATTTGTGATCCTCCTGCTGCAGTAAACTACCGATATATCTAGTTTAGTTTAGTCTAGTTTAGTTTATTTGCAAATTTTTTGAAAGAAGAGTCAAACAGAAAATTAAAACAAATAAAAAATATAACACATGTGCAGGTGAGGTAGAAACCCCTGAGGGCTTATCTCAATACCTCACCTTAAGAGATTAAACAAAGTTAAAATAAAATACAGTAAAAATAACAAAGTAAGAATATTTACTATCACAAATGAAATTTAGTCCATTTTATCCTTCACTTCATTTACAAGCTCCTCCATTTCGGGGTCAGAAAGTTTTGTTTCTTCATCTAAACTTCTGGTTTTTGCCGCGATCCAGCGCTGGACACCTTTGCTCTGCCCCCTCGTTTGCTTGCCTTTTCATTCACAAGCTGCTTTGCATTGAGTGTTTATGGTTGAATGAGGGCGTGTAGAGGGCAGATCATGGGGCTTATCTGCAAGCGCATATTTCCAGGTGGATCGTGATTTATAAAGGGAACATTGCGTGCAGATGTCTGTACGAACAGTTTTATAAATCTGAATGATTTTGTGCGCACGCCATTTCCGGGTGTTTGGAGCATATACATTTTTAGTATGGATTCTGCGCACTTATAAATGAGACCCCTGGTCTCTGGAGTCAGTCTTTGAAACATGTAAGTCATGTACTGTAATAGAGGTTACATGTTTCTCAGACTTGCCCTTTGTATGCCTTTCAGTGTTAGAAAGGGTCTTCCAGGATAGTTTAAACCTAGAAGCTTAGCTCATCTCACGTCAAAGCTTTTAATTGTAGTCTAATTTAGTACATAATATTCCCCTCAGATGTTAAATTTGAGCAAGAAACAATTCAATCCTGACATTGCTAACAGAGGAAATCCTGCAGTACACATCCACAAACAGAAAGGAAAATGGAATAAAAGCAGCTGACCACGTACCCACACACCTTGGCAGAGGGGCACTCCACATGCGGCGGCCACCTCCCAAGCACACTATCTCCCTTGCCCCCTGTAGACGATAGCCGGTGTTGCAGAAGAATGCCAGTGAATCACCGATGCCAAACTTGGAGCCAGTGTGCCAGCCAAACCGAGGCGACCCAGGATTCTGACAGGGTTCAAGATTGTACTCTGGGAACAAGATAGGTTATGAAATAGTAAGTTGCAATTAAATAAAAATGCTCCTTTACCCATTACCTAACTATTACCTTCTTAAATGTAGTCTATCATTATCTGGCACAAATATGAAAGATTAAAACCATGAGAAAAATCAGTCTGTTCTCTGTTCTCTGCAGAGAAACTGAAAGTGCACGTTCAGCCAAAGAAAGCCAAATCCTACATGGGGCGATGAACATCTTTGCTCAAGAACACTCCATCAGGTTAGGATAAATGCCAAAAGTTTGAAGCCATGGTTGTCTGGATGAAGGATGGGCTCCCTAAAATCTGAAAAAGTTTTAATCATGGGCCTGTTGGTGGCCTTATCACTTGAGATGTAGTTGCAACACAAGGCTGCCTGATAAGAAAAAAAACTCCTGGTAACATTCGTCTCACGCTCTGTATTTGCCAGAATGCAGAAATATTATAAATATAACAGCAGAGCAGTGCCCTACTGTACAATGTGGCCTAACAGCATTGGTGAGATTCCATCAAAGGACATGAAAGGTTAGAAAATTAATTCTTATCAGGAAATCTATAGATGCTAATTACAGAGTTTGCAAAGACACACACATACACTCGCTAACGAAATGTTTGAATATTCATGACTGCATAAGTTATGCTTCACGTCAGTGAACAGCAGGCAAACATTTAGCCAGAACGCTCATGAAGCAGACCTTCTCGCTCTCTTTTCCTGCTTTGCTTTACCTGACTCTCTCCCTCTCTCTCTCTCTGTCTCTCTCTCTGTCTCTCTCTCTCTCTGTCTCTGTCTCTCTCTGTCTCTCTCCGCCCTCTCTATCAACCCCACTCACTCATTATCACCATCTGTCTCATTTCTTCAGTCCTTGGTCCCTGCATGGGGGGCCCATTATTTCCATACACTCCTCTTCCCCCTGTGTCTCTGCAGTCTTGAGGATACTGACCCACATGGGACGCTTTGATGATCATTCCCACCACGGTCGAACACCCGCTACCTGCGTGACCTCCTTGTCTCTTAATTATCCTTCTCTGATCCGCACAGCCTGAGACATGGGCCACCTTAAGCCTCCTCCCATTCTGAGCATCAAATCACTTCTCACATGTTTCTTTATGCACGCTTTAGAGAGGCTTAGCTCTTTTGAACTCATTATTGAAGGGTCTCTGTCTCTCTGTCTGTCACAGTGTCTCTCTTTTGCTTTCAACCCCTTCTACTTCACAACTCAATCAACCACCTCCTTTCTGCCTTCTACACAAAATCCATCCACTTTCCTGTTCAAAAACTCCTCTTCCCATCCTGTCCACACACCTACAGTACAAATACTCTTCCCATCCTGCCTCCTACAGATAGCTCCCAGTATGCAATCTTACCTGAGAAGGAGATATTGAATCCCTGTAGCGATATAGAGAAGTCAGAAATGAAGCGTAGCTGGGCCTTGAAGTTCCCGTACAGGCCAGCATTTACCGGGGCAGGCCTCTCTGAGCCGGTGAGTCGAGCCAGCGGCTGGGCAAAGCTGCCGTTTTCTGTTATCAGGAGGTAGTCATGGTGATCCTCGAGGTGGAAGGTGTGAAAAGTGAACTGAACACCTTAGAGGAGGAAATAAGAAAGGCAGATGTTAGAAGTTTCCCTGGAAAATACAAAGAACACTGATAAGAGATGTGGAAAAAGCTTTGGACAGAATATGCATTATGCATTGATTTGACAACCATGTTAACACTGACCCATAAGGTTAATAACTGGATTGGCTGTTTATTTTGTAGGACACAGACTGAGATTTAAGGCAACTCCCTCAGACTGATTATGTCTGCTTTAAATCCTAATTTCATCCTAATTTTTCCAATGTCACTGAACCAATTAAAAAGAGACTACATTTATTACAAATTTAGATCTCTGAAACCTCCTTGACAAAACACATTTTCTATTCATTAAATGATAAAATGCTTTAATCTGGGCCGCAGCACTAAAATTAGCGTACAAATGTGAATCCCACTTAATTATCATATAAGAAAAAGTGAACAAGTGAGGATCCTACATTTGAAGGAACACACTAAAGATAAAGATCTGATGATGATTTACATTTTTTCTCAGCAGACTGTTTTTCTATTTTAAGGTCTCAAAACACGATCTAACTCTGTACACCCTGCTTCTATGTTTTTATACTGAAACTCAGACCCACTGACAACATCTTTATTCCATACATGATGGCCAGTTGGCTGCTTTTCAGTACAATAAGTGCTGCCATTTTAGTGCCATCTGTTGAATCTGCACAAATATCACTCTATAATATCCTCCACAATTTGTTGCTCACTTGAAAGCTAAAGTCCCAAATGGTTATACTATAAATAACAAATGAAATGATTGATTGGGCCCCTTTAAGCAGTAATTAAATTACAGAGGGTAAAGGCAAATGATCAATTAATAAAGAGCCATCCCAAGAGTGGGCTGATGGAACATCACATTTTTTAATATAGTAGATAATGAAGGCGGATAATTAAGTAGCTAAGTTACATCGCTGCTATCCCCAAAGATTAATTTGTCTCGTGGTCAACAGTAACAAGATAAAAACTTACCCAAAAGATTAACAACCTGACTTCACATTAACAGCAAGAACTTGTACATTTCTGAATCAGAGCAGAGACTTTACCCGTATTTCATGTAGAACAGAGAAATATTTGATGATGCATTGGAAACAAAGTAAACTAAATCTTTTTTATGTTGGACACTTGTACAGTTTACTAAAGTATAGTTTGAGTTGACTTTTTAACCCGACCCCTGAACCCGACCCCTGAAGGTACTAAAAAGAGGACTGACTTGAACTTACTAAAGAAGAAACCTTTCAGAGTTTAAACTTTCCATTGTCTGATAAAGGGAACATTGTTCTTTGAACCTCAACACTATGAAGATTAGTTTATACCTTTATAAAGATGTAGCTGATCAGAAAGTCTAGCCAACTGTATAAAATGTAATGTCTCTGTACAGATTTTTCCTAACATAAAAGTTTAAGCTCTCTAAACAGACGTCTTTATGGAAGTGCAGTTTACATTCCACCATTAGACATCACTTTCAACACCAGCTTCATTCATGCTCATCAGGTTGCTAGTTGGACTGTAAATAAAGACAATGCACCAAAAAGGAACTCCTTTATCCTTAAACGCTGGCTACACCAGAAGCCACTAAAAGTAAGCCGATAGAAATTAGGATTCTAGGACTTCGTTTGTACTTAGATTCTGTGATTTGTTACATGCTGCCATTTTAAATCATATTCTGTAGGCTGAACCCAAACGGTTTGAAAAGCAGCAGATTTGTAAAGGCTCTTATATTATTTAAAAAATAGTCCAACATGTCATGAGGTTATAAGTGAGATCAGTGTCGTCCTTCCCTTCACAAGTTAAACCTTTTATATGAGAGAACATGAGGTGTTAATTGCTCCACCCTATCTGTTAATCACCTTGTTAAACTTAGTGTTGCAGTTGACTATGGTCAGTCACATCTATCAACTTTTCATTAATTGGGTTGGTTTAGTAGTGCTTTTGTCTTCAATGAATGATAACAATGTATAAGAAGGTCTGTACGAAATGAACCTAATAATGTTGTCTATAGGAATCTGCTGTGAGCTTAGTGTTCTAACAAAAACTAAATTAATATAAAGAAAACAACTAGTGCAAAACAAACAATGCAATGCAGTGCAAACAATGCACAAATCAAGAAATGTTTGACTAAGTTCCATTAAGGAGGCCTTAGTGACTCTATTGATGCTGCACTGTACTGCGCTGAGAGGAATAACAAGAAATACGATGGTAAACACGGGATGTTACAGGTAAGCTCAGTTTACTTTTCAAAGGAGCAGGAATGTCTCAAAGAACTGGTTTCTGATCAGAACACTGACTGTAAGGGCTGTGATAAGGAAGTTAAACCAATTAAATGACAAATAATATGTGAATAAAACTGAGATAGCTGTCATCTCTTTCCGGGTGAACCAGAGAAAGGTTTGAGCTGGTGATTAAATGTGTAAAAAAAGACAAAATGAAATATCTTTCTAACAGTGTATTAGTTATCAAAGTGAGGAATATTTAAAGCTCAGCTAAAAAATGTGAGGTAAGTGAGAAGTGCTGATAAAGAATGGCAAATGTAACTGAATTCCCAGATACCACAACCTCCTCTAAAAAGGGAATTCCACAGTTCATTTTTCAGAAGGTGATCTCCCTCTGAATATCATTCTGGCCAGTTGCCAAAGTTGACTACAGTCAGTGGATTAAAATGATCTTTACTCAAGTTAAATATGCTGTACATGCTAATTTTATAATCATAAATCCCTGTAATGTTCTTGGAATCCGTGGTAAAAGGATGTCGTGTTAATTAATCGTTTATAATTTGGCAAATGTCAGGCCTGCTGAGGCTGCGACTATGATAAGGACTATAAAAAAGTGCTGTCACTAAGGTGTGGCATGTGATTGTTCAAAAACTCTGCTTTTTTAATGAACAGTTCCTTATCCAAAAGAAAATGTGTAATTAAGTGTGAATTGTTTGCATACTTTTGGGGTTAGGAGAGGTAGGATTATCTTTCTTACCTTTTCCATGGCTCACTTCTACCGTCCACGTACAGTTCAGCGAGTTAGGATACAGCTCTGGATAGCCAGGCGATAAGATGATTCCTGCAGGTCCCCTGATATCCCCTCCACACGATGCTGAACAGAAAGACGAGATAATGACTGATAACTGTTGCAGAAAAAAAAGAAGATTGTAAATGAACCAATAAATCCTTCACCTGCATACAAAGGAGTTATTTAAATGAATAATGCATTCAAGACATATTACATCCTGTCCTGCTATTTTTACGAGTACCTGTAATTCTGCCAACACAAGGTTTTTTTTTCCCTCTCACTTCCTTCAAACCGGTCCTACTGCCAGCACAATAAATTATTCATTATTTCAGCTATCCATCCATATTTTCTCTTTCCTATGGTATCTAAAACGGAAAGGCACTATCAGTTCTTGTGATTTGAAAGCTTGTATTCTGAAATGAGCATTTTCAACATATTACGGTATATTGGTTTACTTTGGTTTTGACAGCTCAAGAATAATCCAGTAGCTAAGGTGATGGGAGTGTTGCCCCCTCAGTTTATTGGACTCTCAGCTCACGTGTGACAATTGTGATGTCCAATAAAACCTGAAAGCTGCTTATCTCATCAGAAATAGTTTATAAGATAAATCTCTGCACTGATTGGCTGCTGAGGACCCGGAGGTTAATGCCCGATCCGTCTGAAGGTTAACTCGTCTAATTGGATATTGTTCAAACCAGCAACCGTTTTCTCATGCTGTCATTGTGTTTCAACTAAAAGGTCATTTCCCATAAAGGGCACTGCTTTTTAAATAAAGCATTTATAAAATCTGACAAGCTTTGTTTTCTTTTTTACCTTCTTTCCTGAAGTGTATGTGTGTGTGTTTGTGTGTGTCTGTGCGTCTCTGTGTATGTATGTCATGTGTGTTTATTTGTGTGTGTGTTTGCCCTAAAAGTGACGTTCTCAGATGCCTTCCTCAAAATAGCGATTGCTAACAAATATTAGAAGTAGAACTTTTGTGCATGCACATATTTTCAAAGTTCTGAATGTCAGAAGATGTTTTGGAGGATCACTGGGATGCCTAAGGCTCCACAGCTGCACACACCCGCTACCCTCTTATCCTCTCTCCTTCCACCCTTGGGCCCTCCAACGAGCACAACACATCAAGGCATGGATCCTTACCCACCAACAAAATTATATTGCATATTTTATTAATGAACGGAAATTACATAAAGTCATTAAAAGTGGATGAGTATGCTCGGCAAACGATCTACTTTAGAGGCTTCCTTGGCACAGAGCCAAGGCATTTGGCACCAGTTTGGCACACACCTTGGCAAGAAGTCTCCAAGACATGACATGATTTTTCAAGCACGGACTGAAGTACAACATGACACTGTTTTACATGTATGATATGGAGCTCTCCGCTCACAATCGCATGTGTTTTAACTCGTTTCATTCTTTGCACTGAGTAATCTGTGACTACATCACATCATTTCTGGCTTTTACCTGGCTTCAATAATTACCACCGTTGTCCTTGAGTGTGCTTTCAGGCTGCACAAAGAGCCAAAATGTACGAACACAGCCAAGAGATGATGCAAGTTACAAATATCATCAGGAATCTTGCTGAACCTTCATACTTTGAAGTTGAGTATAATCTGTCTTCAATATTACATGATTCATAACACCCCAAGTTATTTGTTCACAAGGACAAGGTATTCTTGTTGAATAAAAAGCAAACTGACAAGCGTCTGTTTGGTTAGTCAGATCAGCTGTGGGCTACTCAGCCACATATACTAGTGTTGTTTTTACCTTTGCCAACAAGACCGTGAATGTTTTTGTACATTTGTGTTAATGCAGCATTTGTTTAGGAAAAGATGCAACATAGGAAGCAGCTGGTGTAAGAACCTTGTTACCTTCAGAAAAATCTATGAAGAAACCTACTTACCGCACTTAAAGCAACAACCTTTACCTCCTATTTGAGGACGTTTTCTCCAAATAATGATATCCTAATGAATACAATTCAACTATTACATTTGAGTCATAACTGGGTCAATATATATCTTTTATGTGACACTAGACATACAGTATATGTTAGAATGATTTCAGGCCAAAAGGTTGGTCTTTGAATTTACCTGTCATTTCCAAAAGGATCAAATCCTTTTAATATGCTGTCTAACAATAATTTAACCAAAGCGGTACGAAACCAGTATTAAATATTAAAGGATTAGAATTTTCTCAAAACCCAAATGTTGCATCATGCATTTCTGGGTGTGAGTGACACCTGTGCTGGAACACATAGTTAAACACATAGTTAAACACATGTAACATGTATGTACTCACCATCACAGGTGGGCAGTGGGTGGCTCCAGAAATGGTTTTTCTCACAAACCAGAGGCTCCTCATGGCTCAGCCTGTAGCCCAGTTCGCACTGAAAGGACACCGTGGAGCCGATTGACAGGTCATGGCTCAACCGTGCACCATTCACTGGAATACCAGGATCCATGCAGGAGTATGTGTCCAACGTGACCACTGGAGAAATGCAATTAAACAGGGATTACTTGTTTATGTTGTGTATGTATGTAGAGAAAGGTTTTTGCTTTCAGTTATATTACATTTTTATATGAAGTCATGTTTTTTCACAAACTGTATGGACTAGTGTATATGCTAACCTTTGTGACTGATAATGAAAAAGTAAAGACTATGTATAGAGTTTTTTTATGTTCTCTCATGTAGCTTTGTTCATCTCTTATATGGTAGAGAGGGTCTGCTTGTTCTTATGCAAATGAAATAGACCTTTTAAGTAACAGAGGTATACCAAGGTCAGACAGCATTCATGAAACATGAACTGCTAATTCAATTTGAACAAAAATTAACATTTGAAAGCCACTTTTGTACAAAATGTTTTTTTTTTTTTTTTATTACAATCAGCACAACACTGACAGGTCAGGATTCACATTCATAATAAAGAACATAAGTCTGTCAAAAGGGATTCAATTTAAATGTTACTTTAACTAAAAACTATGTTTCCTCAATGAACAAAAGACACTGCAGAGAAAAGAATAAAACATTTCTGGCAGTGGCAAAGGCTGTTTTTGAATGAAACACAATGAAGACTTTCAAAAACTGTGTCTCTGCATTGACTGCGAAATACGACTGTTTCTCTCTAAATAACCTGATGGAGTTGTTGATGCCTCTTGCATTGAAACAATGTTTAATCTTCATGCTTTTAAAGTTGTATTTAAGTCAGGTTGATTATAGGAGGTCAATGTTCTCAGTGGTGAGAAATAGTACACGCCAGTAGTGTCATAGGGTAAAGAGAATTGGGTAATGACCTTAGTGAACAAATATACTTGCTTCTGTTCTACACACGCAATTCTGGGGTTTGTGATATCATTTTTGTCCTGCAGTTTTTCTCTCAGAATTAGCTGTTTGCGCAGTAGTGCCAGTTCCTTTTTAATCTTCAGGGCTGCCAGCTGCAAAGAGATAACCCTGTTTTCCCTGTGATTTCAAGGACTGCTGTCTGGATACCCTCCGAGTGGGGCTGCTTTCCATGCACTAAAATTATGCATATTTTAGATGTTGACTGACAACAGTGGTGTAAGCAGTTATCAGGTCATCAGGAGGTAGTCTGTTCTAAACTAGCATTTAGCATTATCAGGACATTTGTTTTCTTTAGCTTTTTTTGTATATAAGAACATAAAAAAGCAGAGGACATGTCTGTGGTCTTTCTGTCAATGAATCTTGTTATCTATGATGTTTCCAGAGTATCTATAAGAGCAGCCAATACATACGAATGTAACCAGACATTTGAATAGCAGCATATCAGTAACAGAAGAGTGCTGCTAATACAGAACAGATGGAGAGCAGCAATGTGAACCAAGCTATCATCTCTCCTCTTTCAGGAGGCGTCTTAGTTTTCAGGTGCTTGACCCGGCCAAATGTCTCTTTTATATGTTAGCAAATCGATTCAGTTCATTTTAGGTTTTCTGGCATCAGTGACTGTGAGCACAGCATGAAGTGCCTTCAAAGGTACCACACACAATGTGAAATTTATGTTAAACTGCACCCACTGTCGAGTCAAACAGCACTGGGGACACACACTCACAGCAAGTGCAGCCTGAACAGGTTCAATAACCCACTGTAATACATTTGTTTGAAGAATGTAGTTTTACTTTATGGCTGACAGAATACACTTTAGGCCATGTGGTACCGAATTATCAGCAGAAATGAAAGAGTTAGCGGTGTAACACGGTATTATTCTGGTTAGTAAACCAAAGATTAAGGTCATAAACATTAACAACCTGTAAAATATCCAAGACTAATGTTTCTTCTATTGTACAGCCATGCCTCTGTAGAAAACGTGTCTAGCTCTCCTTGAGTAATACTTGATATTTTTAGAAAGCAAACACACTGTTGAACAAGTGGAGCACTCATTGATCAAAGCTGTGGGAAAAATGATGCAAAAGTGGAAAAAAATAGGAAATTACAGAAATGATGCTTGGATTTTGTGGGCATTCACTTGATTTTATAGATCGTTTTTTTAAACAAAATACATCTGATTTATAGATTCAATACAGAGGATATGGAGCAGTGTTTCCATGCTTGAGTTTATAGAAAGATTAATTCACTACAGCCCCACTTGTAAGACCAATTTTACAAATGAACTAGGCTGGGTTTCCCTGAAGCATTTCAGCAATAAGATATACCCTAAATTGCAATGGAAGAAGCTAATATGATCTTACTGTTATTGCTTTTCGATAGCCTCATCAACTAAAGAGAAATGCACTTGAGAGAGAAACATAATAAGACAAAGGCACTTGTGGTCTGCTTTCAGTCAATAACACAGACATAATCACAAACTCTGTCTTATGAATCACATCTGACTGACAGGGGTAATGGTGCCAGTGCAAACAATCGTGAAAATAGATCACAATGCGTCAAAATTATTTTTCGACTAGATTTTTCAAAGAGTATTACTTCACGAATAATGATGTGGAAAGAAAATAGAATGTTAATAACTGAACTCCCTTGAGAGCAGATGATTTTACCCAGACGGTAGTTACTCATTTAATTATATAACTCTAAATGCTAGTAGTTCCCATCCCATGCCCTCATATCACTTGCACTTGAAGGAAACCTTCCCCCTCAAACTTCCATCTTTAAACTTGAATTAGCAGATCCTTCTGTTAGGATGGTAAAACTGAATCTGGGGACTGGGACTAAGAGCTGTTCTTAGCCTTGAGACAATTTTACTGAAATTTCTGCCACCCACCATCACTGTTGGTTGATGTTTTAAGGGCAAAATAATAATTAAAGATCAAAACTGATAGAGATAAGCAGCAGACTTTGTATTGAAGTTATGCTTTTTGCCAACAACAGCCATGGACAGCAATAATCTGACTATTGACCTTATTCTGAAAAATCGAAATCTTTCTGTCAAAAACAAGTTTGCTGTAATGTACAAAAACATGATGTCTTGTATGAGCTTTGAAAATGTTGAAGATGTAACATTCTTGTTACATCTTTAGGTTTGAGGTTTGCATGGCAGTGGCTTATACATAATATTCTGTTATACAGGTAAATATCAAAATATTTATCTCCGTGTCAACGTGGCTAGTGTCAAACAGTGTGGTTTTCAAACCACTGCTAGGCTGAAATAATAATAATATGAGGTTTTCTTACAAATTCCCATTAGCTGGTACTTTCAATAGCAGTGGTGACCTTAGTCTCCCTCTAAAGTAAGTAATGTTTTATGTAGTCCCACTCTTGAATTTTGTAACCTGTTAACAAATATGAATAATTTCTCCTTTTTTTCAAAACACTCATTGAACTGGTGCTCTTGTAATTGCAACTCACCCGAAACACATAATCAACTTAATTTGTTTTTGACAAATAGTTATGCAATTTCACATATTAAAAGATAGGCAGACATTTTTATGTTGTTTTTGCATACTTGGTCTTTTGTATCTTTATTCCCCTTTATTACAGAGATCTCGTTTTTTGGAAAATGCTGTGAAAAGTACCATGAATATATGTGAAACATCCTTAAAACCCTTACATTCATAACTAAGCCTGTGTAATCGTTTTTTGTGCATGCAGGAAACAGTGGCGTACTCTCACCTTCGTAAAAGATCTTGAAGCCACTGTTTGATCGACTGTTGTCAGTGGTGAAGAGCAGATAGAGAAAGTTACCGCTGCTGAAGAGAAACTGGGGGACTTGGGTTCCATTAAACGAGCCCACCAGAGGAGACAGTAAGTTGGGACCATCATGCACTTCCAGGAAGTCATAACTGAGCTCAGTCTGAAACCTTAAAAGTAAAAAGAAGTAGAGTGAGTGATTTGCATAGTATACAAAACAAAACTTCTGTTCTGACTGATGACACAGTTTGAAGCCATTCAAACTGTGTGTGCAGAGAAAACAAACTGTCTTATACTGGGGAGAAAAATTAGATTATATAGCTTGCATAGCAAATGTTCCAATTATTTCAATAGTATAAGATATGTTTCTTTGAAATCTGACATTGTATTGACAACCTTAGGGTGCTACATCATCAACCCAGCAAATCAACAAACACTATCAATAATATAAATAATGTTGACGTAACCTTAAGACATTTTCAGCGATAAAAAACAAAGAATCATATTTTCTAAAATCATTGCCAACATAAACTGCTAAACTGGGCAAAGGAAACATTTGACTACTTTAAAGAAAGATGGGCAAAAAGTTTTGACATTTTCATGCAGAGTAATTCTTTGTACCTTAACAAAGGAGCGTGTCTGCACATGAAGAACATTGACATCAAATACATTTATTGTTTCTTTTGAATTGTACATAATAAAGATCTGAAAGCCAGACTATGTCTTTATTTTCATTGCAGTCTTCAGAGGAAGTGAGAGAAAGCCAGTCAGCGAGATAAAGAATTACTTGAGGCTTTCAACATTTCTGGAAACTGGGTCCAGGATTGCGCTCCACCTCCTCTGACTTTCTATTTCTAACACAAAAGCTCCCAGGGCTAAGGGTACAACTTCTGTGTTTTTGTACATGTACAGTGTGGATTTCACACGTTATGGCTGTTTATATGCCAACGTCTGTGTCTGTTATTAAATAAGTAAAGCATTACCCACATTTACAGTGATGTGGTAGTATGTGTGTATACACACTTACACAGGACTGTGTCTCATATGGTTGTCTTTGTGTGAGTGTGTCAGAGTGTATCTATGTTTCACGGCTGAGTTGTTGCATTTGTCATACAAACCTGTCAAAGCTGATCTTGATGGAGGTTCCCGGCTCAGCCTCAATGACCCACTCACAACTCAGGGAATCTTTGTAGTAGCCCGGCCACCCCGGGGACAGGATGACACCTGACGGCCCAGAGTAGTGGCCCCCGCAAGGAGCTGGTGGAGCAGGGAGATGGAGGACGGTGGGAGGGATGGAGAGGAAAAAGATAAGTTAAGGTTACAAATAGAGAGAAGAAAAATACAACTATAAAAGGTTTTTTTTTTTAAGATGATATCACACAGTAATCTTTTTGTACCCACATAAAAAACATAGAAAGAAAATAAATATAGGATGAGTCACCATGGGGCTTAGCTTACACAAAAACCTGAAAATAATATGAGACCCAGTTTGGGTGAACTGAATGTTCCACATAACCCACTCAGTTTTCAAAACAACAGTCCCTCTCTCATTTTCTCTTTCTAAATCTATAACTGACATATCTGTCCCACAACATCATCACAATGATTAGATCATTTATTTGAGTACCTTCACATTTGGGGATGAGTCCGCTCCACATAACTTTGCCTTCCTCCAGATGGCATGTGATGGTGTCAGCCCCCTGCGTCTTGATAAAGCCCTCCTCACAAACCACTGAGATGGAGCTTCCCAGCTGGAAATTATCCCCAAAGCGCCTGGCATTCAACGGTATGCCAGGGTCAGGGCACTCATTACGCCCAAATGCTTGTAATGAGAAGAAAGAGAACAAGATCTGGTGACAAACGGTCCTGTGTGAATGAGAAATGTGGTCTTTGAGAACGAGGTAGATAAGGGAAATGGATGTAGCTGTCCATAGGAGAGAGAAAACAACCTAACAGAGGTCTGTTCTGTACACCTGAGGGTGACAACAGCCTTTGTCTTTGGAGCTTGTTGTGACTCCGCCAGGAAAAAAAGAATTACGGTGGCCTTGTTCTAGGCAATGAGGTACAGGAGGTTGGAACTGTATGCACTAAGGCACTTAAGCTGCCCTGAGGGAACATTTTTACTTAAAGTTTAAGCATTCGTTTAAGAAGCACTAGAGGGTACGAATACATTTTGTCACTTACTGTTTAGTTTGTATTTTACTCTACATGATCCATTTTTCTCATTAATTTTTTAGATGTAAAAAGGGAACTGTTCATGCAATCATTGTTTCTACATTTTTAGCTTGATATGATGTTATAAAATAAAATCAACAGTCTCTTACTGCTATACGTGATGTTGAACCCTCTCCCAGACATAGAATGATCAGCCTGAAACTCCAGCTGCAGCACATTGCTGTTGGACGTCAAGTGAGATGGAACTTCGGCCCCTGAGAAGCGCCCCAGTATTGTGGCACCCGACTGATCCCCATCTTTGATAGTGAGGAAGTCGTAAGGAGGCTCTAGGTCAAAATCGTTGAAGGCCAGGTGGATTCTGGTGCCAGACTCAGAGATAATCAGCCACACGCAGTTCAGGTTGTTTCCGTAGCCCTCTGGGTAGTCAGGAGACAAAACCGTCCCCATTGGAGCGGTAAAGTTGGAGAAGCAGGGGACTGTGTGATACAGGGGGTAAGAAATATTATGATTAAAAAAGGTAAAAATCCCCAGGTGAGGCAATTTGTTGTACAGCAACTTTCACAGGTCATATGACTGTCACACTGTGGATTGTGCCATGCCAGGATCAGGCACAAAATATAGAGCACCGTATAACTAGCTCAGCAATCACAACATAGCACTGCTCCCATGGGTGCTGAGTAGTTAGAGAAACATGAAACTGTAAGAGGGATGGAGCAGAGAAGTGTAAAAAAATACAGCCATACAACAGTATAGAGGAATACTGTACACTGTCCCTATGGACACAGCTATGCTAAACAAAAGTTTCTTGTTATGGATAAATGTGAGCCATAGTGAGGCTCTCAGGAGGAAGACAGTATACAGTAGTATAAAAACTTTTTCCATCCCAATAGTATGCATAGAAAAACATTGTAAACCCTTCCTTCTTCTCTTTCTTCTTAACCCACGAATAAATAAAACAACCATGTGCTACCAACTCTCCACTTTACTGTATGTCTATTTCTGTTTACCCACAATTCACTGCATGGTCATTTAACAACACTGTAATTAATCCTCTGATAGCTTAGTGTCATTGTGAACTTTTCAAGCACAAAAGTAATTGCTTCATTTTCTGTACTGAAAAATAGCATGTATCAGACTCACATATGCAGATGGGGATATTAGCCGACCACTGATTGTTGTTCTGGCAGGTTATCATCCTCTCCCCGATGAGCTCGAATCCAAACTGGCACTCGAAGCGCAGAACGTTCCCGTTTAAAAATCCACTACCCTCCTGGAAGCCGTACAGAGGTGTGCCAGGGTCACCACAACTCTCTTTGTCAATTTCTGGGGAGGAGTGGAGGAAGGAAGGAAGGAGGAATGGAAAGAGGAGAACGAGGGAAAAATAGTAGGATTAAGTGAAGCCAGGTACTTTGAGCTACTTTTTTCCCTTCAACTTTATCTATAAAGGTCCAGGTGAACAGGCTGAGAGCCTGGTTAAGGAAGTCTTTTTAAGAGAAAGATTGAGAAGAGAGTGAGAGATGGACAGATAGAAGGACAAAAAGACAGACAGGGAGCTGGAACAAAACCCACAGACAGACATGAATACAGACGTGCACTAGTATCACTGCTCTAAGTCTGTGTACCTTTGTAGTTGATCTTGAAGCCGATGGAACCCACACTCTCATCAGACTGGAGATGAAGCCACATCTGATGGGACATGCTGACAATCAGGTCTGGAACAAAGCTTCCAGTCAACCTGTACAGAACATCAGCACAACACACATGGTCATTTCCAAAATGGTTTCTAACAATAAGAAAATGTGGTCTGTTCTGTATATAGTGATGCATTATTGTGAGCAAGCGTGTTTGTAAATGGAGAAGTAATTGTAAAATGTCCAAGTTTTCTTGGCTTCACAACATAATCTGAAATATAAACATTGAACCAGCCCTATAACCTTTACTGCATAAGCAATATTATAGCGCAATATCAAGTATCATATTTAGTACTTACACTTGTATAATGGTTTTCGAATCACCAACTTCCCCTCCATCTCCGATTGTTAGTGAATCATATCCAATTTCCAGGTCAAACTCTTCAAAGTTGATCTGGATCACCTGTAATATAAAACATGTCACTTGTGAGCATGACAAAAATGTAGGACCATTTTTACCAGTTCTGTCAACATTTGTGTACATACATATGATGTCATCTTAAAGGACTTGTCGGTCTGCCGTGTAATATTGATTTTTATCAATACAATACGGAGACTTATCCTGTTAGTCAATTTTATTCATGGCATTTATTTATAGGAGCCAGATCCTGTTAAACTGAAGAGCAGTGACAATTGAATCTCAAGTTTTATTACCAAATAACCCACCATCTCATTTATAGGAGATTCATGTTGCTCATTTCTGCAGAGGCTGTTTCTTAAGACAGCTTAACTGTAAGAGGCAAGTTAATGTACAGAAATCCCATGAGAGGCTTTATAGATTTTTGCAAGAATACAACATGTTCAATGATACAATGCACTAAAACCTTGCTGGTACTTTTATGAACTATATGCAAAAGCAGCCCCCTTAAACTCAAGTAAACAAGGCATTCAGAGAAAAGGGGACTTTAACAAAAAGGTCAACTCCTAATTTGTTTTGAATTTGTATAGATTGAGGCTTTGTAAAATTGTGCCTGTCCAACCCATACATTCCCACAACCAAAGGACACAACATATTTCACTCGAAACAAGAATAGAAGCTGACAGCTGCATCTTTTCACATCACTACAGAGTATAACTCTAAGAACCGATAACGGCAGGGCAAATTTAGAAGTTCAACGTTTTAATTGCCTGCCCACATTCACCCTTGAGATTTACTTTATGTGTCAGCTGTCATTTTGTCATCTCTTTTTCCCCTCAACAAGTGCACATAACTTTTCTGAAGATGACATATTCACTGATGAAATTGGCAAAAAAATAAAAGTGTCCACTTCAGACACAATACACAATAAAGCCACATTATCTCAGCCTACACTTTGTCTACAAGGATTAGTGAGAAATAGAAAGACATTGTAATGATAGTGACACATCTGTTGATGACACACATGTGATGGCTGTTCGCTCATCCTTAGCATCCCTTATCTCAAACAATTGGGAAGACAATGCCTGCACAATATCCATGTGTAACAGCCCGATTACAATTCACGCATAAGCATAATTAGCATAATAACACTAATGGACCAAGTTTCAGAGCCAACTCTCTGGCTTGTTTGCCTAGGAGAGGGCATGGAGGCGCAAAGCCATGGCACTTGCCAGTCCTTCAGAGTTGACACCCCTGTGTATATGACTTTCTAGAATACAAAATAGAGAGCCAGAATGAATGTAGGAGAGCAGTAATGACCATTAGGAAAACAGCTTTGACCTCTTCCCTTTGGGGACAAGCTGGTCTCATTCAATCATTATTTCTCTCCAGTTCTGTAACCCCAGATGAATGAAGCAAATCGCTTCGTTCCAACAGCCTGGTCAAATTGGTAGTCCAGTGAGAACTGAAATGTGATACACTGCAGCTCTGTACATTAATGAGGGACAGTAACAGTGGATTTAACTCAATATAGATGCATATTCTATGCAACCTTTTCCCACCTTCGGAAGTCCTTGGCAAAGAGATGCATACACAAATCTGTCTGCAGGAAGGGAATACCCAAACAATTGCTGCACTCTGCAGGTATAGAGTTTTTTATTGCAAAACAATGAGGTGGTCAAGTTATTGTTACCTGATGGTTTTGAAATTAGTGTTGGCAGACATTTATTTATATCTGGTAATTATTTTCACTTTGAACAGAAACCAAGACCTTCATCTTGCCTCTGTTATTTACAGCCCACTTTATCATAGCAGTGAGTGAATATTTATGCTTTAATACAGATATGAACAGGTAAGGCTGTGCTCTGTTATATGGATTGTAGTTTTGTGTCAGGGTAAGAGTTAGCTAAGATAGTATCAAGTGATAATTTGTGATTCCAACGGGAGTTATTGGTGGGTCTTTGATGACTTTGATGAATTTCAAGTGTTTCAAGAAACTACAGTCACGCAACACCTCATACTCTATTGTATTACCTTGTTAGGATCACTTGCGGTGATGATCCAAACACACTGGGAGTTACTTTCATACTGGATTGGGAAATTAGGAGATGTAAAAGTCCCAGAGGGTCCCTGAAGATTGGAGCCACAAGTTTTCACTGCAACAGAGATAAACATGAAGACAATGTTTATGCATGAAATTAAAGACATATTCAACACATCCTTGGTTATTTAAAAGAACATACATTTATACACTATATACTAAGTATAAGATCTCTACAGAACCTTCAAGTCAGGTATGGTAAATTCACAATAAATAAGCTCAGACAGCAGTACAATAACTCCTGCATTGTAATATGACAAAAAAAGGCAGTATGGTATTTGCACAAGTAGAGAGAAGGTCTATTAGCTGTGCTTCCATTAATCAAATTCTAAAAAGGTGCTTGAGGTAGTATGAAACATAGAAAAACATCCAAAGCCTTTTGGAATGGAAAAGCACAGTGCTGCAGCAGAGGGCATTCATACATAATTAACAGAAATGAACTTTCCTCTATCTGCATAGAGCCCGTATCCAGAGGCACTGCCTTAATCAAACTGTTTTATTAGCTCTTCAGAAGCCTCGCTCACCCTTGCAGTTGGGTCTGTGGTCGCTCCAAGCAGCGAAGACTTCGGCTACGCGCTGGCAGGTAATCGTTTTGGAACCCTGCAGCACATGGTCTTCATCACAGGTAAATTGAGCAGTTGCTCCGATGCTGAAAAGATAACAAACACCATTAGCACCTGAAAAAGCAATCAATTCACCAAAAATGACTCCTGGTGCAGTCTCTAATTCATTATTTAATTCATGTCATTCATTCAAGGTTTACAGTGTGCTCTATATAGTTGAATGAATAAATTCAACCAGATGTCCGACTTTCCCAGATGAAACTATATTACAAAGATGCCCTCTCACATAGTAAGCCATTTTTGCACATGGATTGACAACCAACTCGATAAGGTTCACATATAAATGCTATACATGAAGTATAAAGCTAATGGAGACCAGGGGAGAATGATATTAGGCATGGAGGGTGTATATTGACATGGACAAATAAAAATTTGTTTTCTTCTGATGAACCTTGGAGTGGATTTAACTGTAAGGGGGGAAAAAACTATACCGCAAAATACCTGCAAAAATCTTTTAAATCAAATATTTGATATATTATCACAATACAACAGAGTTTCAAAGCTGATGCATGTTAACCTTAAATATCTTTAAACTGGGCTTATGCACACAGGTTGTTCACTCGATACAACCTGATACTTGTATGTGGAGCCTGTTCTCTGTGTTTCTCTTCTATATTAATCTGAACTCCGTCACTCCAGCTGCTGAAGCACAAACTCACCTGAAGTCAGAGCCGCTCCGTTTGCCATTCTCCGGCTCCCCTGGGTCAGGGCAGTAATTAGACACCTGTTTGATTCCTCCTTCATTCACTGAGTGAGAAAGAGAAGGACCAAACGTGCTGTGAGAGAGACACTTAAACTGTCAAAGCTTTCGTACTTTCAGAAAACACCCACTGCAGTGAAAAGCACTTGAATAGTCAAAAAGAAATATCTGTTTTGATGTTCAGTAGTTTTGTTTGGTAAAAGAAGTTGATGCCAGGGATCACATAGTTAGACAAATTGACCTCATCTCTCAATGTCAGAGACTTCCAACTGCCAGTTATTTGGCAGTGCTGTTGTGAATACACTCTTGTGTTTTGTGATATCAAATGGAGTGCCAAGGGTAAATGCAACTCTCTCACGAGCTAGACAACATAGAGAGAAATATATCTGGGTCCAATAGGTACTAAGAGGATTATATAACCTCCAGCTATCAATTCCAACAGCTACAATAATCACTCAGTGAGCTTCTCCATACATAACAATAGTTTAAAAACACAAGATAAAGCCTTGCAGATATCATAGGAGTATATCCTTTACTGCAGTAGGAATGTAAAGACAAGGATTGGAAGGAGGAAAATAGTTAAAAATTTGATTTGTGCTTTGACTTTTAACAAGCTCATCTCTCCCTCGCATTATAAACTGTAAATAAATCACAGGCTGCATTCACATGAAATGAAATTCATTAAATATGTAGTATCATAATTATTGTTTAAGTTTGTTTTAATGTTTGCAATAAGACATCCACACCCCCATACACACAAAGACCCTTCTGTTTTAACGCGCATTCCTTCCCTTCTTTGACTTCCTTCAGGAAGTTCATTAGCTTTGAAGTTAATTGTTGCGGGTTATAACACAGTTATGAGTTCTATTATATGCAATGAATGCACAGGGCATATGAAGCTTCTCTTGTCTTTAATGATATACAGTATTGTCTGGCGGAAGAGATTACAGCCCTCTGCATTATTCATGTCTCTATGCGATGCAAAATCTACCACACGTAAGGTAATAAAGATTACAACCTGTTGTCACTGAAGCGTTTAGCACAGTGTGGAGTTAGAGGGAATTGTGTTTCAGATTTATGTTAATGACGGAGCTCCGCAAGCAATTAAAATGCATTCACTTCAGCCTGAAGTGTACACAAATCATCTGACAAGTGAGTGGTCACTCAACCTTGACTACTGCTGTGTGTAGATCACACAGTGCATGAAGTCATTCTAATGTATTGCTCAAATAATACAGAATAAGAGGATTCTGGCCGACTGCGACTGATGGAATTTAGCATTTGTTGCTGCCATATACATAACAAGCCCTGGTCTAGCGGAGGTCTTTTGTGTCAGGACATGGAGTCTGGGACAACAGGTCAAATAGGTAATCAGAAAGAAAAGGGGACTGCACTTCTGCAAAATCTAGTACTGTAGCTTAATCCCTTCACTGAAGGATGCAGCAAAAAAGGAGGCACGAAGAAAGCAACACCAGAACGCCAGCACTACATAAACAAAAAACAATAAAAACAGTTGCATAAGAAAAATAAAAGACTTACTCAAAGACAGTTTGTTAGTGTTGTCCTTTCCTGGTAATAATTTTACCCCTCTGGATTTAAGCTCTCCAGAGCTTTTCACTGGTCGAGAGCAATAGAAAGAGTTCATTAGATAAAAGAAGTTACAGTATTAGATGTGAGAAGATACAGTACAAGTGTTTTCTTTCTCTGGATAATACTGGTCCTATGAAGAACATCAAAATATAATTGCGTCTGGTGAACATCCTTTTTCAAAATAAATGAGTCCAACTGCTCTGATCCCTGCCTAAGGGATGCCCTCCCAGTTATATAAAAGCTAAATTAGTTTCTCATGTTTGTTTGTTTGTTTATATAACTCAGACATATTAAACAGTGGATGGAAATTGATTGGTCAGAGCAGATTTAATGGTTAAAGCTTGCAGGGGAAACTAAGCAAAATCAAAGAGAAGCCTAAGGACTGCAATATTACTTATTAAGACCGTCTAATTAAACACAGCAGGGGCCATATTGCACACAAAAGCCAGGTGATGCAAGCAGCTGTCATAACTTTGAATTACCAACACAATAGCCAAAAGCAATTAATAATGAACCAAGCAAAACAAGGCCATTTGAATTTAAAAACACCAAGACAATGGCTCTCCTCTGATCTTGAACTAAAGGTCAACTTGTTAATCCAACCTGTTTTTAAACATCATTTTGATGTGAATCTATTCAGTGACCAGATAAGGCTTGTTATATGCTCAAAATGAAACTGCACAATAAACCCCTAAGTGCCTCTCTTTTCTTAAAATATATCTGCCCTTTACATCATACATAACAAATGCGTTTAAAAAATGCTTTACTGCTGCACAACAATCCTCTGCAATAGATGATAAATGTAGTGCAATTGATTTTATGTCGTTATTTAGACGCCAGAGAGTCGCCACACATGCATGTTACTCAAAGTTTTTATAGAGCCGTTTATGGTGAAGTTGCAGTTTTCATATCTGGCTTGGGGCCCGGCTTTAAGCCTCAATGTTATAGTATATGCAGCACATACTTTGACTTTACAGTCATGCCAAAGAACAATGTCAGGGTAATGGATTATTGAGCTCCAAGAGTTTTTATAAGGTGGAAAGTGTATACGGTACTTATCTCTCACATTTTGATTAACAAGGCCCTTTGAAGTCAATGGTTTGAAGCAGAAAGGCCTTCATGCCCTCTACGGAGGGGGTATTAATCAAACTGTTTAATATTCAGTTAACAAAGATCAAAAACATGTTTTGTAATTACAGTGTGATATTCCTACAATGATCCCATTTTCATTCAAGTAGGATGCCCTCTATTAGGTTGTGCAAATGAAGTAATCTTGTCTTACCTTGATACTGGGCCCTGAAGCCTTTGTGGCGGTGGCTGCTCTCTGTCACGAAATGCAGCCGCAGCCAGTTTTTGTTGCTGATGATGGGTGCTGGAATATTCATTCCAGTTAGCCTGAGAGATGACAATCACAAATAAATAAAAAATCACAAGTCATCAGTTTTAGCTTTTACTCAACAGCAAAGCTTTCTTGATCCAGGCATACCTGTGTTGCATAGTCGCTTTAAATAGAGTTAAATAAATATGCAAATTATGAACAAAAACCTTAGAGAGAACAATTATGACCTTCAATGAATTTAACAAGAAACTACACCAGCTATGGATGATGGATTACATTATATATTCCAGTTTGCCATCACAGTAAGTCAGGCATCCGAAATAAAGTCAGTTGGGACAGTCTACAAGACAATGTTGTATGATTGAGTCCTGCGTGCCTACATTAGCTTGGTAGGGAAAAAGGGCGAACTTATTTTATACATATGCCCCCACTAGTTCATGTTAGTGCGTGTTTGTGTGTGTGTTTGTGTGTGAAATTTCTTTGACTTTTGACTGGCCTTAGGTGACTCCATGGGAAATGACAAAAATAAGAAATAAAAGTGGCATTGAAAGAAAGAGGAGGAGACAAGAAAAGAGGGATGAGAAAAAACAAAGAGGAAAGGGAATGTTTTTCCCTTGGTGGCCATTTCAGATATAAGAAATACATTGGTTACACTACTTGACATTTGATTTATTTAATTATTTATCAGTTTATTCATCAGGGACAATACATGTAGGCATTGTTACATCTTATTAAAGTTAAACCGATGCAATGTATATATAGGACTTCTAGCCATAGCTGAATTGCAGTCCTTTTAACTGGATAGGCTTTTAGGAAATATCAAAATAAGGAATAAATTGTGTTTTTACACCTGCTGTTTAAATGTTTAATGTATGAAGGTAAATGCAGGTAAAGGATCTAATGCCGCAATGCAGAAGTACGCAAAAAAAAGTTGCATTTCAGACAGATTAGAGGCTTTTGCATTTTTAACTTTTCAACTTACTGACAAACTAAATGGGATTTTTAAATACTGATATTTAATCCAAATCATCAATCGCAGGGGAGATGATGGCAGCTCGTAGAGGAGAGTTAAAAGGTAATTGATTTTCACACAAAAGTTGACCTTTCTCTCGTTGTGTCATTGATAAAATGCTAATGACACCAATATGCGGGCAGAATGAAAAAGAGCAGCCTTCAGGTTAGCTGAGCTATTCAGAGGAAACTGTCTCAATTTTTCCAGAAGAGGAAGCTGCAAATTATCTGCTAGATTTCTGCAAGTAGTCTACAAGAAAATAGATTGTGACAATAAAGCTGAACCGATCCAGAAGTTGCTCGGATGCTCCTGGCAGCACAGGAGTGATGTTACAAATTTAAGACCCGCGGAGGTGAATATACTGTTGTCAGAAAAGGAAAGCATGGCAGGGGATGTGAAACATGATGTGCAATCAGCAGTAAATAAAGGCCTAATGGCACCTTATAGAGGACTTGCTGAAATGGGTACATTTGTATCTACGTTCGGTAAACCATTCTATTAATTTATGTAAGAGCAGTCTGCAAGCAAAAACCTCCCTGCTACATAAAACAAGTACTAAGTGAAAAATATGTATTGTCTTCTTGTTTCGTTTTGGATATGCCTGGTTTGCACTGAGGAAATACACTACGTCACCGCTCCCTCCAGCTGTTGTACTCCCAGTGAGAGCAGATGCTTTCAGGAACACAAATGTGCTCGTAGGGTTTAAGTCAGCACAGAAGGAAGGCTTACATCATCTGAAGTGCGCTGACAAATTAATGACTGGTGCACTGAAATCTTCTTATGTTTTCTTTGATGAAGATTTTTAATTGATATAAATCAGCAGTTTATTGACAATGTGTCATGTTATTTTGGTTCTAACGCTGTCCTCAAATGTCCAGAATGTGGTAAAATGTTTAGCAGCAGCCAAATGGTTATGCAAAATAATTTAGGGCTACTTCACAAAACTTTTATGCTCATCACTTGTACTCCTCGATGTAACTGTCATCAAAACAAATAATTTACTTGTGGAGAGTGGGCTGCCCAGTCTCCATAGAACAGATAACAACAAGTGAGTGCGGTCTAGTGTTTTGTCATTGTATCGCCTTAGTGCATATTGAGTGACAAAAGAGGAGAAAGTCCAATTAGAAAAAAAGCATTCCTCCCATAATGCACTGCCACTCTATCCCAGACTCACTCCGGCTGTTATTTGTTCTACCGTAGATATAAAATATGGCGTTTCAGAGATTACTTCTTGGCACGAGTGCAGTGTTTTCATGTGCTTGGTGTAATCCATGTTGTAGCTTGCTTCATATGCTTGATTTGGGGTGACTCATGGACTAATGGTTGCTTCTGACATAGGTTTGTGAGGGTCATCAGAAAGCTCTCGTGAAGTTATCTCAGTACAACAGGTCTAATTTGAAAGGCTGAGGGGTTAAGGGTGCATGGCTATCTCATCAAAATGCCAGCATAACGAGTCCCTGTGTGCAGGTGCTGTGGCCAAATGTAACCTTGAGGCCAAAGCTTTATGTTGAAATCTCTGGTGTCACTGCTTTTTACAGACCAAGGTTATACCTAGGTTCACCCATTATATTGAGCCACCAATTCAAATTTGTCAAAAAGGATAGGACCAGGTAATATGTCTTTCCATCCTACACATATTCTATAAAATTTGACAGAAGGAGTAATAGCAAAAATATTTTATGGAATAAGGAAGAAGCCCTTGCTCTCTCTCTCGTCAGGGACTGTTGAGAATATGATCTTGTACAGCTTGGTGCCAGTCTGTCAGCAGAAAAATGAGCCAGTTACGGAATATCTTGTAGCTTCTTACATTATTTACCCCAGTAGAATACCTGGGTCAATTGTCAATTCACATTCCTTTAATTAAGCATTGGATCCTGACTGCAGTGGAGGAAAGCATGTGGAGGCATTTTGATGGGTAAGAAGATCAATAACAACTCCCACAAAGAAGAAATTGAATCTAATACACATGGTAATTTAAGCAAAGTTGGTCATTTAGCTGCAGGGCACCTCTTGCTCTAAATCGGCTTTGAATATTGTAATCTTCTGCTGACAACCATTGAAACACTCTTTTGGAATAGGGTTGTTCATATTCAAGAAGTTAAGTAAAATACATGCAAAATACTTGGTCAATATCAATATCTATTTTTACAGTCAGAGTGTTCTTAGTATGTTAAAAACTAACAGTCAATGTTAGAGAAGGAAATCAGTAGATGAGAGAAAAACCTGAAAAAAATATTCAGGTCACATATCAAGGAACATCAAGCAAAAAGGTGGATGTAATGTCTGTAAAGCCTTTCAGGTTTATGTTCTGTTTCTGTTTTTGAAATAATGAATGACGTGTAATCTAAGGCTTGTTGTTGTTGCCCTTTGTGAACAGGCCTGTACATTCATATTAAAGGTCAGAAGAATATCAAAGAATTGTTTTCTCAGTGTAGATAGACGCCAATGTCAGCATTTATCAAAGGAAACAGATTTTTATGTTTTGGTCTATTTTTGCGGTGATTGATGTGCAGCCTCACATCAACCTTCCAGAGCGTGACAATGATGGAATCAATAAACTCATTTGCGGAGATCTGATAGAAATCCTCCATTGATAAAAGGATAAAAGCTGCTAAGAGGTGTCAGCAAAACATATTTTTTTGCCCTAGAGTCCTGGACTTTGTATACTTTCAACTTTCAGGAATGGTTCTTCAGTATAAGAAACCATCCATCATCTAGTTTCAGGAAATTGCAAGTGCAACCTGCCCTAGCAAACTTATTAAGGCTATTCCATGTGTCAAAATGAATTAAATACCATAAGTAATTTCATCTAGATGAAATAAAGAGTATGTTTTGACTTCATTCAATCTTTTAAGATTACATGTATGCAAACAGCACTGTTGCTTTTTTCTATTCTTATTCCACAGCACGGAAGCTAATCATTTAGTCAGGATTAAGGTTTCCTTATTGCATTAATTTAGCTGCAGGCATATTTCTACTTGTGTTTATCACTTGATAAAAACAACTTGTAATTTTAAGGGTTGACAGAGGGTGAAGTTAAGTTGGGTCAAGCTTGAACAACATTTGCCTGAAAGAGGCAAAGAAGAGATGTTAAATCTGGCTGACTTGAAGGTGCCAGGCTGTCAATCACTGTTAAGCAGCGCTGAACCTCAAGGGTAAATTGACAGTTTGCCTGTCTCTGCCTGCAGCTGGTGCTGTATGTTAGGGAGCTTCAGAGTTTAGCCGACCAATGGCCTTGTATGCCATAAGAGACACTCATAAAAAATAGAGAGTGAGAGCAAAGAATTTTATGGGCATGGAATTGCTTGCTTTGAATCGTGTTTGTTTGCTTGTCTGTTTGTTTACCTGGCCCAGTTGAAGGCATCGCTCTAATATTCTGGCCCCAATGCACTCAAGCTCACTGGGTCCCAGTTGGATTGTAGGGCTTAAAATGAGAACTCTGCCTGACAGCCTGTGACATTCAGTGACATAAAATAGCATCATCTTGGCGTTTCAAAGCATTCAAGTGAAGCATGGTGACCACTCCGCACAAATAGTAAAACTCCCAAAACTAAAGGCAGAGCTTGTTTAACTGCTGTGCCTGATAAATGAACATCGTTGATGTTTTGTTTGACCTCTATTTGAACACTGGGATGCAAAAAGCTTAGCTGCTTCACCCTTAGGGGCTACGAATCATATTGTGTGTGATACATTAAAATATCTCTTTGACATTGTTTTAATTGTACAAATGCCTCACTCCATGACCTTGAAAACTGAGTGCAAAGGTGTGGCCACAAATGGAGGTAAAAAATATACTAACATTGTTTTTTTCTTGACAGATGTAATAATTCCTGGATTTGATCTGTAATCTATGAAATGTTTTTAAAGGGTTCGTTCATGATTCTTTTTGATTTTGATATACTTTATTAATCCGGTTTACACTCTGTTATTTTAGGGACATGATTCTCACACACATAAGTCCATATCACATACATGCACAAACAGGGCCTGTGGACAAGCATTGGTGGAGAGATGTCAGAGTGGGACTGCTACACACTGCAATGCAGAGAGCGCACCAGAGCGGATGGGGGTTCGGTGCCTTGCTCAAGGGCACCTCATTCATCAGGAGATAAAGAGAATATTTGAACATACTAGGGATGAACTTAAAGTTTGTGTGTTACAGAATTAACAGTTAGACTTATAGATACTTATAGAAATCTGTTTGTTGGTGTCAAACTCAGGTAAACGGGCCAGAATGTTACAAAAGATGCAGTTTGTCATTATTTGAATCTCTCACTACATGACAACAGACTCTAATGTCTGAAGATAATGTATTACCCAATGACTTTAATAATGACCAGTAATAAACTGTAAATTAAAAATTAAAAAGTTAATATAGAGTACATGAAACAATATAACACAGTATTTCCCACATGGGGCTCTGAGGCATTAAACTAGAGACATTTCTTTTTTTACCTGAAATAAGAGGGCGACCTGATGGTCCGTCAAAACAAATCAGTGACATTCATATCAGGTCTCTGTCACGCTCTTTAGTTACGTCAACAGACAATACTTAGCAGTCATCACCACACTCAGCGCACCTCTCCTTTTGACTCTCCCTGTCTCCCAGCGACACAGTGTCTGCCTCTCTCTCCCACTCTGACAACTCTCAGGGACAACAAAGCTCGTAGCTCAGTGATTGATTAGCGCCTCTTCCAGCCAATTATAATTAATGCCCGGCAGGATCCCATAAACCAGGCAGATACTCTCTTTCACACTGAACAAAGAAGAGATGGATAACCTTGGCCTTAAGGTTGGGGTTCAAACCAATTTCATCTTTCTTGTTTCTGTGAGTGACTTCTACATCAAGCCCATACAGAGACATAAACCAGATTGTCCGAAGGCTGCTTTTTAAACAAAACTCTGTCAAGGATTTGTGCACTTCAATTTGAATTATGCAACAGGGAATCATATGCACTCTCTCTGTGAATTGATTTAATTCAATCAGAACTACGAGGCATATTTAAAACGTTGTTTGCTCACAACTGTCTATGGAAATTCATCTCAAGGTATATTTGCATGCCAGTTAGCTGGCACCCTCCCTAAGTTCACAACACATGCACCAAATTTAAAGGGCTGTTTTGACAAAGTATTACCGTACATGGTCATGCTCAACCATACACACCAAACCTTTGTTCTTTGCATGCTTTAAGATCTCAGCAGGCAGGCGTCCGTGTTATCCCCAAAACTAAAAAGGAATCCAAAGGCAATACAGTGAAGTCCCATCTTCTCGTTTGAATAAACTTAGAGCGACCCATTCTGGACTCTATTTCATCACCCTCTTTATAAGGATGTCTTACAGAGGCTTAAGTCCTCTAAGCGGGCAGCCAGCATTAGAATCTGACCTGTGACTCCTTTCCTGCATGTTGTTCCCCACTCTCCTCCTCCCAAGTTTCTGACTCTATCCACTGTCCTATCTCTAACATAATGGCATAAACAGCCCAAAAATAAATATTAATAAAAAAGATTTGTCAGTGAGTGCTTCCATATTTATGAAGATGTCTTTCTTAAAGCAGAAACTTTACATTTTCATGAAACATTGAATGAGATCTTGGACAACAAAACTAAACTTTACCTTAATTCACTGGAACTTTCAGTTTAAAACTTATTTCAGACTTGAAAACACATCAACAGTAAAAGTGCGAGCATCTTTACCTTTCTATACCTTTTAGAAAACATTTAAGGCAGCCTATACTTTACTTACCATAAGTTATTTTCTTATAACATTTTTTTAAAGACAATGTTTTTAATATCAATCAGTGTTATTAAAAAGAATACCATTTTAACAACCTCCTCTACATAATATCAGAAACAACTTTCTTTCAACACCATGCAGAACATTTACACAAACACAAACATAGAAACCTGTCACTGTTATAATGCTCTATTGATTGAACAAGCACTACACACTCACACTCCTCTTAAGAAAAAAGAGCTCAACTCACCAGATGGTTGGCAGTTCAGATCCCTCTACTTCCAGATAATCTGACTTCTCCTCCATCTGAAATTCAGTGAAAACCAGGGAGATGGTGTCGCCCGGATCTGCCAGGATGGTCCACTTACACTCCCCACTGCTGCCCAGGCCTCCAGCACCTCCTCCTCCGCCAGCGCCAGGAGATTCACCGCTGGGGACATCGAAGCTAGAAATGAGCCCGCTGGAGCCCCTTAGGGTGCCACCACACGTGTCCTCGGCTGTCAGTCAGAAAAGGGAAAAGCAGGGTGGAGAGGGGAAGGAGAGAACAGACACATTATTTCAGCATTCTTACTAGAAGTAAAGAATGATGGCTTCAAGTCAGAAACACCTATTCCTATCCTTTAGATAAATCCGACTGAGAATGACTGATATGGAAGCTTTAACACATTATATTGTTTGTTTTTCACACATCCACAGGTTGTCAAATGCAGCATTTAAAGCTAATCCTGCCAGAAAATTGGTTTGCTAATAATTTAAAATGCAGGATAAAAGGTTTCTCATGTTTTCTTTTACTGGCAATTATCATGAAGCATTTACACAAGTGATAATAGGCAAAAGTGTGAAGCAATTCAATGTGTTTTTCTTCTATCACAGTTCTTTTTTGTGCAGTTACTATGTGGGAGGAAAAGTCCTATAACAATCATATTTGTGCTTTCTCCTCCATCTTGTCTCCCCCCCTTCACCCAAGAGTCAGTAATTCATCATTGTGTCCTCGGAGCCCCCTCATGTTTCAGGAAACAAACAAACAATGATAAACAGGGCTTATAATGCTGTGAAATTGTATATTTTTCTCCAATGTGGGGTGCGTGGCACATCAGCTGAATGTTAATGCACTCTGCCATAACAGTGGCTTGCTCTCTTTCCCTCCACATCCCTTTTCCCCTCTTACACCCCCTACTTTTTCTTATATCTTGCTTTCTGTCCATTTCTCTCCTTCTAGCCCACTCAGATCTTTCTACTATCACTCACCAGCCTCCCCTCTATCCCTGTATCCATTTTTTCTCCCAAAAGAATTCTAATGAGGGCAGGGCTTTCACAGTTTTCACATCATTTAAGACTAATATGTGACACTCAGCTGTGCCAGCTTAAACCTTTGATGGCTCAGCACTGCTCTCTGAGCTGTCAGAGCTGCCAGCCTTGGAACATTCCTGTATGCTGCATTACACAATTGGTCAAGGAACAAGGAAGCGGATGTATGAAATTCAAAAGATAAAGAAAAAAGAGGGAGAAGATAGGAGAGCAGGAGCTGCTATTAAGCTTGATCCATGTCATTGGACACATTAGCTGAAGCAGAGCGATAGAGCAATTGATCAAAGACTTTATAGGAAGGGTGGAGATGGCATTGATACTGTCTGAGACATCAATGATGATCACACATATATGACTCAAAGCAAGGGCAGACCCTAATTTGTAAACAACACCAAGGGAAGGTGTTCATTTGTTGAATGTCTTCAGCCTTGTAACAACAAAAGCATGTGGAGTCATGATTGGTTCCTCGTTCAAGTCATCAAACTCTCCACCATGCAGCTCTTATCCTGAGCGACACATTGTATATCCCCTCACTGCCTTTAAGATGGCATTTCAGAGAGTGCCCAGCTGATTTGTAGAGTAATTGGCTATACGCTGAAATTAAACTGATATTAAAGTGCTCAGAGTCTAGCCAAAGGAGCCATATCCATTTTTTAACCTTGATGACAGACAGGAGGGCAGCGCAACTAGAGTCCTCATAGCCGACAAGGCAAAGAGTACAGCAATGAAGTGGTGGACAAGTGTGGGATCGTAAGAGGAGGCAAGTATAAGAGAAGAGGAAAAAAATGGAAAGAAAAAATAAATAAAAAGGAAAGACACAAGGAGATAAAATCTAAAGCCAAACATACAAAACAGAATGATAGAAAGACTGTGCTTTTATAAGAGACAGGCAACAGAGAAAAAGGAAAAGGGAAGTATAAGATGTCAGAGAAATGTCAGGGAGGTCAGGAATATGTTTAAAAAAAATAGTTGTAGTTAAAAGGTCAACATGTTTTGAGAAAACGTTATATTTAAAATCATTATCAAGGATTCAACAAATCCTAAATCCAATCTTCATTGTTCTACACTCTCACACCATCATTGAGTGTGTAAAAAATCCTGTCAGCTTCATTGTCTGTCTGGGTCTTGTGCTACTCCAATATATTCATGAATTTACCAGGAGAACAAATATGTATTCTTCATAAACTGTGACCATGACCTTTGCCCTCCTTTACCTTTTCTATAGACTAGATACAGCAACACGCCATGTTTCCTTGAGTGTGGACTGAAAAATACATCAGATTATTTTCCATGTTAATATAGACCTAACTGAATTTTCTTTGATAAATGTATATTTAAAAACATGAAAAATCCATGATGAAAATTTGAATCTGTTAGAATATACCAAAGCAATCGAAACAGTCCTAATGATATATCTCTCTCAACACCACCAACAACAAAAAGATGTATTAAATGTTTCTTTCAGTTTTCACAGTTCTATATATTAGTATTATTTTTATATAGAATGAAAAAAAAAGAACATTTATATAGATTGTCGTAAAGAACAAGTTGCCAGTAGAAACACTTACAGTAATCACGCCAAAAGGAATGGGTGTATGAAACAGCCCTGCTGCACTTAATATTATCTTCATAAAGGATATTGTGTTTACATATCTGTCTTATAGAGGAGGCTTGATATGGCTAGCTCTCTTGATAAAACTGGAAATTGTGGAATCCACATTTATCAATAATGTTCCTGCAGCACTACATAACTACAAGCGAACAATGCCAATAAAGACATTAGACAATTTAATTAGGGCTAACATGACTGTATATTTTTGCAATTTTGCAATTGTCCGTACAGTTATGTTAAGATATTAAATTAATTAGAAGAGTAAAAAAGTCAATTCACTTTACACTGAGTGATTTCAGTTTGTGACTTGACACTTGACTCCAGTGTTTCTTCTTCTAATGGAGTTAAGCAATCCAGATAGCAGAAGATTTGTTTCTGACTTCCAAAGTTTATTTTATTTAACATTATTGTGCTCCAGCATTGACCCTGCTACACGGGACAGGACATAAATGCACCATAAGTAGACAATAGACATTAAATAATAACTAACTACATACACGCGCAACCAGCAACATTTAACACTTAAGGAAACCAAAAGAATAACTGTTTCCATTCCCTAGTGGTTTTAAAACAGACAAAAGTGTGAGACGAGGTTATTTTATGACACCTTTCAATCCAAACTAAACTCACTTAATCAGTTAAACTCCTGACAAAGAAATTAGCTCATCTCATTCAAAACACAGAGACAGGCCTTAGAGCGCAAGCTGCTGAATATTTGGTTAATAATGTTATAAACTCACACTTCACAACATGCAACATCAAAGTCTCATTGAAAAAAAGTCAAGAGAAAGATACAGTAACAAGAAAGGACAGATGCTGTAAATCTCAAGCTGTGTTAACTTTATACTCCTTTTTTTTTACCCCCCTTCAGTGCTGTGGATTTGTTTGAAGCTGTAAATAAATTGACAATGTGCTTACAGTACAAGACTGTTCATATTTTCATATTGTAAAATGCAAAATAAATGTAACTAGCTCTGTTATCCAAAAATCTGCAGGGAATCTGCCAGGGCCTATGGGCATCATATGAGCAAAGTTGATATATACATCAATCAAATATCAACACACAGGCGTGAGGCACGGTTTGTAGATAAGAGTACATTGAGTTAGGCCTTGAGGTGCATGCAGAGAGCGGGCAGAAACAGTCTGTCATCCAGCTCTGTTTGTATTCTATGCTTTGACTAGAAGGCACTGCAGACACAATGCTGCCACTGTGGCAAATGATACTACTGACTTTGTCATAGAAAAAAAAAACAGAGACAATGTCAGAGTTCTCCCACAATCCATTAACAAAAATAAAAACCTTTTGCACATCACAACAGGATGCTGAAAGAAAGCAGAAATACACTTTTCATGGCTTTCTATGACATGTTTTCCATGATATCAGGCATGCTCGCTGGTCATCTTTTAACAACATTCAACTCAGGTGGTGGCAGAAAGAAGCCATGAGCAATGTGTGCAACAGGGACTCAAAGGGTATTTTTGTATATGGGTAGACTGAGAAAAGTGAATATGGCACTGGTAACTGCCCTTTGTAAGCAAAATAAAAAGAGACATTTTGGAAAAACTAGAAAAGCAGCAATTCATTCTCTGGTGTATGTGCTAGGAATTAATCACCAATATTTCAACACAGAGCTTCCTCTAAGGCATGGGATAGATTTACACAATCACATTTAATGATAACAACCGCACTTATAACCCATTAATGTGTCCACAGTTGAAGTCTATTAAATTGCACAGGAAAATTGGGTAGAAGCATGGGAGCAATTCATTATTGTACAGAAGAAGACTGGGTTCGTAGCCCTTCTTTGAGAAGCATTCATGCAAGGTACTAAAAATAGTGAACTGGCAAACTGCAGTTAGAGGCTCAAAAAATGCATCACAGCTTGAAAATTTTAAATGGCTTCGACTACATAATGCCTCACAGGTTCCATGTATTCAAACGCATTGTTTCATTGGGATGCATGGCGCCGTTTGAGGTGCAGTCTGCCAACAAGGTTTAGTGGCATAAAAGAGCCACTGAATACTGGGCAATGTGTTCCTCAGCAAATCATTAGAGCATGCTCGCGACTTAGGATCTCTCGCTTTTAAAAAATGGTGGCAGTGTACAGAAAAAAGATGGTGGTGAGGATTAGGACTGCTTTAGCTGAGCTCATTTACATCCCCAGCATCAGCAATCTAATGCTACTTGAGGAGGGATTAAGCCTCTCTCCCCCTGACTTTGATCAGATATACAACGCTTGTCTTCCTACTTAGAAATATTCACCCCAAAGGATAGAAGGGAAGGAACTCATGTATAATTTTCTACACTACCTCAGGTTTTTCCTTTGTAATAAGCCTTATGTTAATGCACAGGCAGTGACTATGTCTACAGTAAGTCCCTCATTTGCTCAGCTACAAAACATGTTAAACATTCATTGGGTTTAGTAAAGGAATATCGAGATCTGTAATGGGTGCAGAGATGCAAATTACACTGCCTAATGCATATTTGCTGGGGGTCGTAATAGTGACCATCCCTCTCCCAAATCAGATTTGAAATGACTCATAAGAGAAGAGATGAATAGATAAAAAATAAAAATG